ACATGGTGTTAGGGTAGGTAGTTTTAATGACTTTGTATACTGCAGCGTAGCTTGTGAATTTACTCCAGGTGGAACTAAAGACTGATGTAAGTGTTGATTATATTTCACATTATTAATCCAAAACTGTAACTAAAGGTGTTACATACTTGTAGTTGAGTAGAAGTACAAAGTAGCATGACATTGATACACTCAAGTAAAGTACAAGTCTCTTAAAAGTGTACTTAAATCTACTCGGTTACTTTACACCACTGGTAATGATTGCTAGAAGCTAAGACCATGAAGGAAAATGAGCGGCAGTGCTATTTCAACACAAAAGTCTACCCTTCTCCCAATTTTCACAATACATTTACGAATATATATCTAACATCCTGACTATAACGAGTTTGTGCCAGCCTATATGTTATCTTTTGTTTCTATTTTACCGGCTATAAAACAGCGAGTTTGCATCGTCAAAAGAAGCCAATGATAGCTCAACACCTGTTAGCTACTAGCTAGTGAGCTAACGTAGCTTCTGTTCGTTTCTAGTAGCAAACACGCGTTTTCAGAAAAGATGAGAAAGGTTTTATAACATCACCTTAATTTGAGGGGACTTTTTATCCAAACAAAACCCGATATCCCAATCGTCGTTGCTACCTTCGCTTTCATCTCCAGCCGGGAAGGAGTTTGCAGTTATGATGTCCATAGTTAATTGTTAGCAGCTAAGTGGCTAACGCAACGATTACACTGCGCAGGTGAAGGTTTTTGTTTTTTTCCAACTTTATTGAGCAATTTTTCCAATACATCAGAAAAAGGAAGAGGTGGGAACTAACTGAGTACATTTACTCTACTGTACAATTCAAAGGTAAATCGTGTACTTTTACTCCACTACATTTGATAACACTTTAATGATCAATCATTATAAAACATATCATATTATTCTGAAATGAAACAATCTGCACAATGACTACATTTTGAATGCAGGACTTTTACTGTAACAGAGTATTCCTACACTTTGGTACTTCTACTTTTACTCAAGTAGAAGAGCTGAGTACTTCTACTTTTACTCAAGTACAAGAGCTGAGTCCTTCTACTTTTACTCAAGTACAAGAGCTGAGTCCTTCTACTTTTACTCAAGTACAAGACCTGAGTACTTCTACTTTTACTCAAGTACAATATCTGATTACTTCTACTTTTACTCAAGTACAAGATCTGAGTATTTCTACTTTTACTCAAGTACAAGATCTGAGTACTTCTACTTTTACTCAAGTACAAGTTCTGAGTACTTCTACTTTTACTCAAGTACAATATCTGAGTACTTCCACTTTTACTCAAGTGCAATATCAGAGTACTTCTACTTTTACTCAAGTACAAGAGCTGAGTCCTTCTACTTTTACTCAAGTACAAGATCTGAGCGCTTATTTTTACTCAAGTACAAGATCTGAGTACTTCTATTTTACTGAAGTACAAGATCTGAGTACTTCTACTTTTACTCAAGTACAAGATCTGAGTACTTCTATTTTACTCAAGTACAAGATCTGAGTACTTCTACTTTTACTCAAGTACAAGTTCTGAGTACTTCTACTTTTACTCAAGTACAAGATCTGAGCACTTACTTTTACTCAAGTACAATATCTGAGTACTTCCACTTTTACTCAAGTACAATATCTGAGTACTTCTACTTTTACTCAAGTACAAGTTCTGAGTACTTCTACTTTTACTCAAGTACAAGATCTGAGCGCTTACTTTTACTCAAGTACAAGACCTGAGTACTTCTACTTTTACTCAAGTACAAGATCTGAGCGCTTACTTTTACTCAAGTACAAGATCTGAGCACTTCTACTTTTACTCAAGTACAAGATCTGAGCACTTCTACTTTTACTCAAGTACAAGATCTGAGTACTTCTATTTTACTCAAGTACAAGATCTGAGTACTTCTACTTTTACTCAAGTACAAGTTCTGAGTACTTCTACTTTTACTCAAGTACAAGATCTGAGCACTTCTACTTTTACTCAAGTACAAGTTCTGAGTACTTCTACTTTTACTCAAGTACAAGATCTGAGTACTTCTACTTTTACTCAAGTACAAGATCTGAGTAGGCCTACTTCTACTTTTACTCAAGTACAATATCTGAGTACTTCTCCCACCTCTGATAGACGCATTTGGTCTTTAGCTGTGAATGCTTCTATGCTATCTTATGCTAGTTTGATGCTGTTTCAACTCATGATTAATGTTAACGCTTTTGTTTTTGTGTCCAAAGGCTACTCTGGATAAGTGGATATGGCAGGTGAGTGCTCTTTCTAGTGTACATCTCACATCAATACAATCAATTAAATATATTTCACTTGTTGATTGGATTCCTCATTTTTAATACATAACATATTGAGGTTGGGTTTCATCTAAAAAATATTTTAAATGTCAGAATGTAATGTCATACGTCCATTGAAGTTTCTCAAGGTGATGTATATAAATATATATTTGTCTGTCCAATTACCAAATGCTATTCAGTTTCATAACAGAAAAATGCATCAAACCCCAATATTTAAGGAGCTGAAAATATGATTTTCTTCTGACAATGTTGCTTGTAAAATATATTTTTAAAAGAGTTTAGGTAAAACACTTACAGGCAGGATGTGCAGGTCCTTTTTAAATACATTAAACTTGGCATGCTGTATTTAAAAAGCAAGCTTCGAATGTCAATAATGAATCAAATGTCCCAGGATTGGTTCCTACCAAGGCTCAAAATAGATGGTTGGGTTCGGACTGTCATTATTTATAACGATGTATGCATAACTTGCTTCTGAAACTTCTGAAATGCCATGCTTTGGGATGAAATGTTATCTTGCTGCAAGGGACAGTAATTGTCCAGCAGAGGTCAGTCTTTCCTCTAAGTCAGAGACACGTTACCTTATGTCCTTCAGCAGTAATGGGTATACGTTTTGCAACATTTTAAGAAGCACCCCGCAGTTTAACTTCAATAACCTTTTTAAGAAGCAGGAAAAAATAGATATTGCAATTCTTTAATTCCAACTCGTCTCATTAGTAATGGGGTAACTGTCCCTTTTCATTTGTTTATTCTGTATAATCCAATGTGTTTTTTAGGCAATTTGTCCTGCATATTTTAATATTTTGATTCATGTTTGCACTATATTGTGTATCCCCCCTTGGTCTTTCTTGAACATACAGACTAGTCTTGGCATTTGTGTGTGTTTTCATATGACACTGTTGGAGGTATAATGCAACTTGCAGGTCACGTCTCCACGTCAAAGCTAAAACGAAAGCTGCTCTCTTAACCACTATTTCCCTTTATTACTAAAAACGCATGGAGCTCATCTCCCATAATATCATAATTATTCATCAAGCAAAACCCTGATTTGGATTTATTCTTTTCCTGACAGTATTTGTCTTTTTGTATCTTGGGCACATAGTTTGGGAGGTAATGAATACTGAGGAAATATAGCACAAAAACCTAACCTGCTGCTACGTCAAAAAACGTTGGATCAATATGAGCTAAATATTAAATTCCCCCAAAAGATGAACCCGACCGATGTGTCACTGTTAGTCACTCCAGCTGAAGTGCTGACACTGAAGATAACACTCCGTTTTGGTGATATTGTGAAGTCTCACCACATCTTCACGTGTTATCTCTGTTCCCTGAAGGAATGTCTGGAGGTTTTGATCCTCCCTCTCCTGAAACTGTGCGTAACCTGAAACTGATAAAAAATAGTTTTAGATATCCTGGAACTGTTTCTTCTTTTTTGTGAATGATAGTGAAGCATAACAAAGCCACAACTAAAAAGTAGAGCAGCTTCTGGCAACTTTCAACTATCGCTTTCATAGTTATCCTATCAGTTATAGTAACATACTGTAAGTAGCTAAAGGAGACTTCCCTCATGCTGTATGAGCATACGTGTCCATGGAAATCAGACCACTTCATGTCTCTATTTACAAATAATGCCCTTACTAACTTTCTATTTGTTTGGGACTATTGGTAGTCTGTGTTTGCAATACTTCAGGCGTTTTTTAAAGCAATTGTCTCCTTTATTGACCTTCTCCAAGTGTTGAAAATGATTTTACAAGTAAGGGTGATTTAAAAACTGTAGTGGATACATGAAGAGGTTGTAATCTAAGATAAGCAATTTAGGCAAGACATATTTATTATATAGCACAATTCAAACACTTAGTTTTAAGCAGCTTTACATATACTCTCATTAAATCAATCCACAGCATCATATAAGTATTTTTATTTTATTTTGTATTTCTTTGAACAGGTGAGGACTGAAATCATACAGTACAATCAGTTTAGAATAATCAAATAATAAGTATAACCGTACTAAGTATAATTAATAGTACGGTCACAATGGATATGAAAGAGGTCAGACAAAAAAAAGACATTTTATTCATTTATTTAAAATGTTGTATTTAGGGTCAAATAGTATTTATATAGCAGTTTTCTCGGTAACAGTTTTAGTGACCCAAACATATCAAACAAACCAACATGCAATATATAAGAAAAATATGCACAAATATAAATAATACATAAATACATTACAAAATTATGATAATAGTAAGTAATTAAAACAGCAGACATGGGATGTTTTCTGTGTTCCCAATATGTATCCCCCTACTCCTTTTGAAGTTGGAGAATAAAGAGCTATTCATAACTTTTTGATGATTAAAAACACTTAATAAAAACCAACATAACTCACAAGACTGAATAAAATCTATTAAAAGTCAAACTAAACGTACCTGTTAAGGCATCAAAGTCACACCCAAATCTACACTACATTTCCTCTGAACATGCACGCGCATATTCCCCACTGACCTCACACGATGACTGTTCATCCTGCCTGGATCAATATCTGTGAGCTGAAGTGGCCTCGTTTGGATCAGCTGGCTTCACCTCTCCACTTGTTGCCACAATAAGCGACCTGATGCTCGTCAGCGTGGACATTGACGTGCACGTTTTTTGGCGAGCTCATAAATAAAGGATGGCCTGTCCTCTCACTGTCAGTCTGAAGGAGAGGCAGCAGAGGGGAGGTGGCACCATTGGAGACGCTCACAGGACAGATAGATATATATATATACCAGGGTTTTTTCTCTCGGAGGGGAGGAAGATATCTAAACCGTGACATCATATTTACCAGGGTTTTTTCTCTCGGAGGGGAGGAAGATATCTAAACCGTGACATCATATTTACCGGAGGCACACAAGTGGAAGATAACACAGGCGCAAATGTGACTTGAGGAACAGACTCAGGTGCAAAGAAAGCAAACTGGCGGCGCACTTAATATGCAGAAGTCACCAGTGGAAGATGCAAACTTCCTCTCCAAATATTTCTTCTGGTAAGTCATGTTTTCTTCTACATCCTTTGATTATCTCTGGACGGCAAGGTGCAGCTGCTCATTTGGTGACTTGCACATTTATATCTTGAGTAATTAACGACTAAATCACTTGCTACATATCTGTATTTGGTCATTGAGTTTTAAGCGTTTTTGGCGGTGTTTTGAGATATGTGTTGCCAGTTTTGCATGGGCTCAGGTACAAATATGATTCTGTTTTCTGATTGACAAGTTTGTTTATGATGTATTTGCGTCGTAATTTGCTTCCAAAGAAGAGTAAATCAATACAAAAGTGCACTGGGAAGTAGATTGTTAGCTTATAAAATGCGCATTTTGCAGATTAGCCTGTGCGCAAAAAGTACGTTTTGCTCGGTTTAAGTGTGTTCTAGAAAACGCTGTCAGGTGGGAGTAGGCGCACCGAGGGTTTGCTAAATCATCAATATCTGACAGCATTGAATCAAAAAGTATTAAAACGCTAATAGCATTACAAATGTGACCTTATAAGCAAACATTAACGACAAGTTTAAAGGACGTTTTGATGAAAATGACGTGTTTTTGCTTTATCTAAGTTTTCTATGGTTCAATCATGTGATGTTAGAATATCCTTCCTCTTAAATTACAACACACACTGATTTCAGTTTAAGCTGCACTGAGCTCTAATGAAAGGTCACCAAAGAAAGAAGCAGACTCCAAAAGTCAGATGATGTAATCTCCTTTATGTCACCAGCCTTTCTTTAAATGGTTCAGCCACAGAGACTAGCAAACATCTGACCTGATGTCCGCTCTCTGTCATTATTCTTACTGTGAAACCTCGGGGATTACTTCTGTTACACTAGAGCTCCCAGACACTCAACAACAGTGGCTTTCATGCCACAGGGTTATCCTCCAACCACAAACAAACAAATACATCTGATACAAGTAATACTGAATCACTTAAAAAGGTATTGTATGTGTGTTAAATGTACTTTATGTACAAATAAATGGTGGAAGAAGTATTATGGTTCTTAAAAAAGTCCATTAAACGTAAAAGTTATGACTCTAAAATGTTATTTAAGTAGAAGTACATAAGTATTACTTGCAAAAAGTAGTAGTAGTGGAGTAAAAATGTACATTATTTCCTTTTTTTTATTACATGTATTAGAGTAGAAGTATATGTCACATACAATGGAAATACTCAAGTTAAGTGCAAATATGTGAAAATAGTACTTAAATACAATACTTAAGTAATATTTATTTGCTATATTCCACCACTGGTACACTGAGTCTTACAGCAGCTGATAGTAAGTCAATGCATTCCTATGTTCACTTACCAAAGAGTCCGTTTTTTTGTACATAGGAGTTTATTTATTAGCATATTGTCAAAGTGCACATACACATATGTTGCTATAGATGTCCTACCTTCAATCAGTTGATACACAACCCTCTGGTGTTCCTGCAGGTGGACGTCACCGCTGCTCAGAAAAGGCTTCACGAAGAAGTTGGAGCTGACAGATGTGTACAAGGCTCCTTCGTTTGATCTGGCAGACAACCTCTCCGAGAGACTCGAAAGGTTTGTGCACTTTTAAGACTTGTTTTTGAATGTTTACATCGCAGCTGATTGGAAATTGTAGTCCGTCTTGTTCTAAGGCTTCAGGTATAAGTCTAGTTAATGGTTTAATAAAGCTAAGACGTCTTGTTTTCGATAAGCTATCAAGAAAGTTTCCGTCAGTATAAAGAAAGAACATTGACTGCAACTTTAGAAAGAAAACAGGCTGTCATTTACTGTTTAAGTGGGAATACTGTATTAGATAACAGGTCCATCTGGATGTTAGCATCTCATGGTTTCCTGATAAAGTACTAATAGGATTTGTCCAATTGATTTAGGAGAACATAAGTTCTGTGTCAAAGTTATCCCATTTAAGATATAAAAGGTATAAACACCACTTTTATGAACTTTGAACTCAAGAACGGTCACGTAAGCTAAGCTAAAGGTGGCTAATGATTGCCATGATGCCGTCTCATTTATTCATTTGCTGGTAATCAATGTTTGTAAGACACAAAGAGTGAGGTATTGACTCCCGATTTTATGTTGTAGAACAAAACCCATTCAATAACTCATTGACTAAGAGCGAAAGCAACCCAGAAGTGCTAAAATGCTGACTCATTTCCAGGTTTTAGGACTCATTCCTGCGCTACTGTATGGCTATGTGGACTCTGACAGGACCATGATACTGCTGATAGTTGGAGATAATGTTTGAAGTCAAGAGTTTGCTCAAAATGCAGTTAGAAACAGGACATTTTCTCTTAAAGTTACTAAGATGATCACCATAAATAACCCATATTTACATTTATGCGTCCATTTCATTGTTTGTTTTGGCACTTTTCAAATTGACTGCTAGCTTAACACAAACAATGTCCTGCACAAGTCATACATCTTAAAGCATTCATAGTAATCATCAGATTTGGGCGTCAGAACCTCAGAGGTCTAAAGGCTTCTTTGGGAAAAAGCAATTTTGCACCAATGACTAGTAATCGCTCAAAATGGCAGAAAATAGGACCAAATGCAAAACAGCAACAAGTCAGTTTATTCTGTAGAGCCCTCTCACATCAGACATGTTGACATGTTATAGCAGGAAAGCACAGGGGTAAATAATAACATCAACAAGGGCTCGGCTCCATTTAAGAAGCCATGACTGCAGAGAAGCATGCATATTATCAAGGCACTCCTACTGTATATGAAAGTAGCCATCATTACTGTTATTATTTACACATGCTTTTCCTGCTATGATACATTAAAGTTACTGCTTTGAAAATATGTCTCATGCTACCAATCAATCGTATCTCAACATATAGTGAAAAACTCGCATTTCAATTAAGTCATTTCAAGCCCATTTTCAAGAGCTGGACGAAAGGCAGTGAATGCTGGACCCTGAAGCCAACCCTGCAAAAGTCTCTAGACGGATGCTACACCAGAATGTTGCGAGCAGTACTTAACATCAGCAAGAGTGTGCATGTAACCAACAACATCCTGTACGAGGGAATACCAAGGGTGAGCGAGAAAATTGCAGCCAGGAGAATGAGACTAGCTGGACATTGCCAAAGGCATCAAGAGCTGCCAGCCGGCAAATTGGTGCTGTGGGAACCAACACACGGGCATCGGTCACGAGGACGTCCCGCACAAACATACGTGGACGTACTCAAGAACGACGCAGGAGCACAAAGTACCAATGAACTGGCCAGATGTATGGAGAACCGGGATGACTGGAAGCAACGATGGAGGGTCTGAGGACGACCTCGAGAGGACGAAAGAAATAGTGAAAGAAATGGCAGAAGTGCTCTAGATATGTAACTTTTTACTGTATCAACTACAACCATATTTATATATACAGATGCATGACCACCTTACATGAGTTTAAATCCTTATGTTCGATGATTTTGCAGAGAAAAGTTAAACCTAGCAGCGTGCTACCATGATGTTTTCATACGTGACCTTTGCATGTGTTTACAGTAGCCATCCTTCCCTCTGTGGGCTGGCATTTAAAAGGGGGTAGACATAAACCAAACCTGTGTGTGCCAAACAAACACCCCGGCAGCCAATGATGGACAAGGTTAACTCTTCTCTCACTTTCGATTCGTTTTTGATCTCCCTGGGTTCATCTTACTCTCTTATTTCCTGTCTCATACCACTCTTAATCTTTTCTCTCACTACCTGTTTCCTCAAATTAAATGAACCTTGGATTTGCTTGAATTTCTTACATCTGGCATGTTAACGAATTAGCCAACGTTCACTCTTCATGAATTCTTTTACTCTTCAAAGTAGTTATTAAACATCTTGAAATAAAACATACATTTAGTGGTTTAAAATTATATTTGTAAAGCCTTGTCATGGCCAAGTCGTCATGACATAACTTCAAGTGCCTACTTGAATGGATCTATTAAACACAAGCTTGATTTAGCTATTGTATTCCCTTTTTCTGTCTCTCTCTTTACATCAAATGGCACATTTTAAAAGATTTGTTCCATCATGTTGTTGCTTTCTACTATTGACCCCCCTCTCTTCATCTTATCTTTTACTGGTCTAAAAAATCTCTGAGCAAATGACAATATCTTTGAGTTATTGCATCTTTTTCACAGACATTGACAATAAGCGAATGACACATGGGTAACTGAGTCAGCGATCCATGCATAACCTACAAAATTGTACCTAAATATAGGCTACAAAACAAGGAACAAAACCAAAACAAGTGGTACACCACTGATACATTTGTATTTCTTTAATGAAAAAAGGAAATTGAAATACTCATGCGTCTCCTTTTCTTTTATTTCACTTTGCCTAACAACGGCAGCCTCGCCTCTCGGTTACCGGGGCTCTGCGTCACGATGAATGGTGCCAACAAGCCGGTTAATGTAAATGGATGTTAAAAAGCCGACCTTTACAGAGGGCCCGGTGCCCGCCGGGTGATGAATGAGAGGCGGTGGGTGATTTCGCTTTCACTATTCCGATCAGGCAAACAGTGAAGGCTTCTGGGAATGTGAACTTTAGCTTCCATTAAAACATGCTGTGTACCGTCAGCCCTCCATCAGACTCGGTTCAGCTCAGTCCAGCCTTTTGTTATGGCTTAAACGTTTCAAGAGCAGCCACTTCCAACATACGGGGCTGTGATTTCAACGCACAAATAATCCATTTTTCAAGATGAATACATTTATTTTGCACTGCAGCATACATCTCGCCTTCTCAGTGTGTCTGGTGTGTTGCATCCCACCCCCGTATGTTGGAAATTGCTGCTCTAGAAACTTTTAAGCCACTACACATCAGTTGAACTGGTTTTGCTTCCCTCGTCTAAAACCAACCCCTTCCCCATAAACAGACATAATATAGCAGATAGGAGACCAAGGGGTGTCAACAAATATATTCGGGGGCGTAAACAACTAAGGTGAGTAGATACATATTCAACACATAATATCTGTAGGCCATGTATACTAATAAGACAAGTTAAACAATTAAAATAAAAACTCATATAATAACCTCCGTTAAATGGCTCCTACAATTTCATCGCACCAAAAAAATTGGTATTGTGCAAATCAAGAGCTAGAAAGAAATTGAAGTTAAGAAAATGTTACCCTAGTGTAAATTAAAATGTTAGAATTGAAATAAATGTAGGAATTTATGTTGAGTACAATAGGCCGTGAAAGGCTACATTGCCATAGTCTGAGATTGCTAATGAAACCATTTACAAAATCTAGTTACGAGTATGTAAAAAAACTATTAAAAACATTGAGATGTACTAAAAAAGTGTCCTTGCTAATACACCTAACCCCAAATTGCTCCCGATAGCATGTCCAACGATGCGTGAATGTTGGTTTCCCCTTTCATGGCAGCCTTTGCCTCTGTATGACAGGGTGTGAAAGCGTTAATGCTGACTTATACGTGTGAAGAAGCGCATTAAGAGTTGATAAAACGGGAAAAGCTTTGCGTTTTGTCATCGATTCTCCAGCCAAAGTTAGATGGACAGCTGGTTTGTTGGGAAATTAGTACATGTACATGTTTTATTTATATGTGTTTGTTTCCAAATGACTCTCCAATTGATAGCCAAAGAAGTTCTAACAATGTAAGAATATATAAATAAATGCATTAGCTGAAGAGTTAGTGATCCTCAAATGGAAAGTCGGTGTTTCGATCCTCAACCTATGCATTCAACATGTCCAATTGTGTGTTTGGGGTAAGGTGAACCAGCTGGTTTGTTGGTAAAGTAGTATATTAACATATTTTATTTATATGCCAACTGTGTGTGAATGTGTTTCCAAATGGCTTTCCCATTGAAGGCTTAATAATCCCAACAACTCAATCATAGATGAATAATTTAAAGACAATTTCTTCCCCAGTAGCTCTACTCATCTCATTGTACCTGTATAATGACAATAAAGGATTCTATCTATCTATCTATCTATCTATCTATCTATCTATCTATCTATCTATCTATCTATCTATCTATCTATCTATCTATCTATCTATCTATCTATCTATCTATCTATCTATCTATAACTGCACTACTACTAGCTTCTTGTTTTGTGACTGAATCTCCAGCCAAAGCCAAGACAGGACAGCTGGTTTGTTGCCAGAGTCGTAGTAAGGACAAACAGAAGAGCCGAACTCTGCTGGCGTTGGTCTGGTGGAAGTGTTAATCTCTCTTAACTGTGTTGTGACTCCTGTCTGCAGAGAATGGGACAGAGAGGTGGCTTCAGTTTCAGCCAAGAACAAGCCCAGGCTGATGAGAGCGCTGGCACGATGCTTCATCGGACCCTTCGCCTTCTTCGGCGTCCTCCTCTACCTCGGGGTGAGTCTCTGGAGAAACCCATCTGATACACTTTGTGACAGAATGTCTTTCTGGGTGTTTTATTTTGTATATTATTTCGGGGTGCCAGAAAGGTGTCTTTACGGACATTTCTGATATATTCAGTTACACAGAATACATTGAATGACCATTAGCACTAGCATGAGCATTGGCTATTCTTCCTGGGGTCCTCACACACACAAAACATGTTCAAACAAAACGAAACAGCTCATCATTTCATGCAATGTACAGTGCTGTATGAAATGAAAACTAAAATGGTTATCCAATTATCGCCAAACAAAAGTAAATACAAATAAGTGTACATAATAATATATGCATACATAGCCACAGGCACAGTTCAAATGTTATAATACTTAAATATTATTTTAGCAACCTTTTGAAATGTACTTGAGAATGTTCCTGAATGATATGGACGGGTGAAGAGTTCCAGCGGACCATGGCTCTGTAACTGACTGTTTTCTGTCTCATATTTGATTTAGATTTGGGTAATACAAACCTTCCTTCTATTGTATGTCGTGTTTGATAGTTATGTTGAGCATACTGCGCTATAAACCTTTGTGATAATATATGTGGTGAGTGAGTCACTGTAACAAAATGTAACAAAATATAAGTAGACCTCTGTCTGACACTTAACCATTTCAGTGTCTCCAGCAGTTCAGTTACTCTGGTTCTGTGGGAGCACTGCAGTGCACATTGTGCTGCCTTATTTTGTGCTACTTGTAGTTTGTTTAAAGGTCAGCTATCACGCTATTTGTAGGCAATAGCATAGGTCTCAGATATATAAAAAACATGTCTATGAAGTGTTTTGCTCCAAATACCAAACAGATAATTCTAGCCATGCCTCATATCCCTCTATTTCACTTCCTGTTTCAAAAGTGCTGATTTGGGTATAAAGCTTTAAAGAGGAGGGGTCTGAGCTCATGCGGGACCCGGCAGCTACTGTCTAAACTAAATGCTGCCGTGATGAAACGCCATATCATGGATTATCAAGGATTCTCTCTGAAACAGTTTGGAGCTCAAAGGCTTTCTCTCTTGCCGGTTATACCACAAGGTGAGTTCCTTTTTACTTCCTGCTTCTTCACACACATGCTCTCCAGTACAGGTTAGCTCTGAGTGTTAGCGATGCTAATGTAAACACCGACCATATTACGTCCAAAACAGTCGGGCATTGTTTCTGATAGCAACGTTTCTGATTGGGCCGTGGGTCCACATTTCAGATATTACGTCATATCGGACGCAAATCTGGATCAGCTCCGTTGTTCCCCGTTTTTAGAGATTTGGGTACGGAGGAAAAGAGAGAGGGTTTTATTTCCTGACGCTGCGTGAGTTCCCCGACACACCGGGACACATAGTTATGTATACAAGACTTCAAAAAGTGCATTTTGCATGATAGGTCCCCTTTAAATCTTTTTCTGCAGCACTAGACCATATATCCAAACAATAATCAAGCTGCGACAGAACCAAAGCATCCAGAACTTGTCTACTGACATCTATTGGCAAATGTTTTAGAACTCAAACATGATTATTGTAATCACTTAGAACAGGTCAATGGATTTAAGAAGACACACACACACTCTTTGAATGAACAGATAAAAAGGGTTAGGGTTAGTCAAGAAATTCCACTACAGGTTTTCTTTTGTCCAACACTTGAGGTAAAGTAGGTTAAGCACTTTATAGGTAAGTGTTTGAGTAGAGCTAATGTTTTTATTTTATAATAAATACTGGCATTTATACCAAATTCCAACTTTGTAATTTAGTAATGTAATCGTATCATAAAATTGCAGTTGCTCATTTTTAGAATGGAACAAAAAATGTGTGTGTGTGTGTGTGTGTGTGTGTGTGTGTGTGTGTGTGTGTGTGTGGTGTGTGTGTGTGTGTGTGTGTGTGTGTGTGTGTGTGTGTTGTGTGTGTGTGTGTGTGTGTGTGTGTGTGTGTGTGTGTGTGTGTGTGTGTGTGTGTGTGTGTGTGTGTGTGTGTGTGTGTGTGTGTGTGTGTGTGTGTGTGTGTGTGTGTGTGTGTGTGTGGTGTGTGTGTGTGTGTGTGTGTGTGTGTGTGTGTGTGTGTGTGTGTGTGTGTGTGTGTGTGTGTGTGTGGTGTGTGTGTGTGTGTGTGTGTGTGTGTGTGTGTGTGTGTGTGTGTGTGTGTGTGTGTGTGCCTATAGAGCCACAGTGCCATGATGACGCACACTAATCAGAAGCATGTCTCACCTCTGTGTCGCAGACCCTCTCTCTGTCCGGAGTTAACAGGACGGGGGGGGGCGCACTCAGTGCCTTTGGTTTTGGTGGTTGCCATGACGACGAGAATGCCTGTTAGAGGCTGAGCAGGAAAAAACTGAAACGCTCCGGGGAACTGATTTTAATGTTCTTAATAATGATGCATTTAATATGAGGGCACCTTATATACTACTATATATAATACTAATGTTAGATATTTAGTGTAACCCCAGTTTATGTTATGGTTCAATTGTGACACTGATGTCCTGCTATATTGGGCCTTTTGGTCAGCTGATCCAAATATAGATTAATAGATAGAAGTGGTGCAGCATTGGGTGTTTCAGACTAACTCATGGAGTATATCACAATATGTATTTTAATGCAGAACTGATTCACAATGTAAATAAACATAGGAGTGAAAATATAACCATGCACCTTGGCACAGAAATGCCCAATGATTTATTTTTTTACGCTACGTTCCTTTACCTAAAAGTAGCATTCCTTTTCTAATCATTGTTTATGTGTGACATGTGCTACAACATATCAACATATCATCAGAGAGGCACTGATTTTAAAAAGTGTTCTGCTGATTCCAATATTTTAGATTTGACATACCGATTCTGATTTGTTTTTTTCTTTCTAAAGTGACGGCATCGAAAAACGTGGAAAGTAAATTATTTAAAGGTCCCATGTCATGCTTTTCTGGTTATTACCCGTCCCCTTGTGTGTTATGAAGGTTTTTCTGCATGTAAACGGTCTGCAGAGTCAGAGCCGTTATGTTAAGTTACCATAACGGCTCCGCACACACACACGCACACGCACACGCACACGCACACGCACACGCACACACACACATTCAATCTTTTCTCAGCTGCAGCTCTGCCGATTTCTCCTCCCTGAGACGGCGGGACGCGGTAAGGCTGTGAGTCGGTGTGTGAGCGCACACACACAAACTCCCAGCCAGGCTGCGGGTGTGTGTGTGTGTGTTCGGGCTGGGTTTCGCTGTCTCGCAGACGGCCACTGGGCTCACAGGGAGGGGGGGGCAGGAGCTCCAACAAGCCGTTTAGGACAGAGAGTGAATACACATACTATACAGAGATGCTGTATGAGAAACCAATGTGAGTTTGGAACATTGAGCAATATAAATCTATTCTAGTAGACCTCAACAATGGAATTATGATCAGTAGAAATTGCCATGACATGGGACCTTTAATTACACTTTTTGTTCATTATAAAACAATTACTATTAAATAACTAATCACAGGACCTCAAGCAAATCTCAAAATAAGGAAAGTACTTCAGGTTACTTGACAAAAACTAAATCCAAGAATTGCACTACATCCCACTTTATCATGATTTACTGTCACATAAGAATTCATGCTTTAACTTTTTAACACCACACAGTTACATGTAAACCTCCACACTGACAAATGTTCTGTTTGTGTTGCTGTGACATTACATAGTTTCTGCAATTAGCCACTGTCATTGGTGGATCTTATCGTATTTGCAGGTAGGCTGATGGCATGGATGGATATGGATATTGCACTCGTCCATGTTGTGATTTCGATACAATTTTTAATTGTGCCGCCCTACTAGGAGTTGACTCTTATGCTCCAAGGGCACCAGAAAGCTGACGTAGATATATGTAATGTTAAAGTAGATATTTTTTAAATGAACTTGTATTTGGTATTTTACTTTAACTACTGTGTTTACATAAGTAACATTTTATTTTATTGTTTTGTTGCACATCCTTACTTAAAAATTGTATTTCATTAAAATCAGCTGCAACAAAACATAATTTCCCACGAGACAAACAGTATTCTATTTCTTATATTCTTGTTTATTCTTGTTTGTCTGCATGCATTGGATGTAGGAATTGTACCTTTATGCCTATGGTTACTTCTGAATTGCTGCTGTGAGTTGTTGATGGTAAAGTGTGTACATCTTCTCTCTTTCTCCCGCGCCTCGTTGCAGGAGGCTTCGAAGACGGTGCAGCCTCAACTCCTCGGGCGCATCATAGCCTCCTTCGACCCGTTCCACGCTCCGGAGCGAAGTCAGGGATACTTCCTGGCCCTCGGCCTCTGCCTCCTCTTCACCGCCCGCTTCCTCCTGCTGCAACCCGCCATCTTCGGCCTGCACCACCTGGGCATGCAGATCCGCATCGCACTCTTTAGTCTCATATACAAGAAGGTAAGGGGAAGACGAGGTGTTATTTATGGCATTGGTTGTTAATTTATTCAAGATTCAAGGCTTTTATTGTCATTAGCACAGTAGATATGTCGATGAACAACTTAGGACAAATATAACATATACATTAGTGCAGGAAGAGTCTATATTCAAGTGAATGGAATATAAGATGTTAGATAAATAATTTGCAAGATGTGAATGTTTATGGATGTTCTTTCAAAAGTGCAGGTGTTTAACAGTCTTATCAGGGATGCAAACTTGTCACCTTTCGGCGAAATTCGCCGTTTTGAATCCAAAATAGGTCGTTTGTGTGATTCATGTAGATCTGCAATACAAATATTTGTGGGGTATGGGGGGGGTCTGGGACCCGGAGTAATCTGCGGCCGCGAGCCGTTATGTGCCATCATGACACGCAAGGTGTTCTTTTTTTATATATTATAATGAAGCTCGAGACTTCCTGCCTGTCGGCTCTGCTCATCGATGTATAATAAGGCCCTGCTGCTCCGGTATGAGGGTGTAGCTTCAGCAGCTACATTACCTACGGGTGCGTTCATTAATATTAACTGTGTGGTCCGGAGTCACTGTGTTGGACCGCTGGTGAACAGCTGTTAGAACGGGCCGTTCAGGTGTTCAGAGCAGAGCTCCCTGTCAGAGCGGCAGAGCGTGATGTGCACTGAAAAGTGTTTCTGTCGCAATATTATCGTTGAGCTAGCTAGCTAGCATACATTGTCACTATGTGCTAACGTTAGCTTTCGTTTTCTAATCGTTTTTTTCATAGGCTATAAACGGAGGTGGTATAAGTATAGATCTTGTACTTGAGTAAAAGTAGAATTACTCAGATCTTGTACTAGAGTAAAAGTAGAAGTACTCAGATCTTGTACTTGAGTAAAAGTAGAATTACTCAGATCTTGTACTTGAGTAAAAGTAGAATTACTCAGATCTTGTACTTGAGTAAAAGTAGAAGTACTCAGGTCTTGTAGGCCTACTTGAGTAAAAGTAGAAATACCAGAATGTAGGAACAATTCTGTAATAAAAATGTTCCTCAAATAAAAGTAGAAAAGTATTCTCATCAAAATATAGTGAAAGACAGTAAAAGTAGTCGTTGTGCAGATTGGTCCATTTCAGAATAATATATATGATATGTTTTATAATGATTGATCATGAAAGTGTTCTCAAAGCTGGTAAAGGTGCAGCTAGTTTGAATGACTTTGTATACTGCAGGGTAGCTGGTGGATTTACTCCAGGTGGAACTAAAGTCTGATTCAACACTTGATTAGATTTCACATCATTCATCCACATCTGTGAAGTAACTAAAGGTATTAAATACATGTAGTGGAGGAAAAGTACACCGTTTACCTCTGAACTGTAGTGGAGTACACAGTAGCAAAACATTGAAATACTTAAATAAAGTACAAGTATCTCAAAATTGTACCCAAGTAGTACTTGAGTTTATGAACTTAGTTACTTTACACCAGTGGCAATACAGATAGAAAGACTACGCCTTGCACAGAGGCATGAAAATACATTTTCAAAATGCTCAACAGCCAGAATTATAAACTGACTGCTCCACAATTAAAATAAATGCTTTTATATATTTCTATTAGATGTGACTCTTTGGCATTTCTGTTATTATTACCTGCTGCTTTAGTTGTTCTGACTGCTAAAATCCTGTTATTCCTCATTTTAAAGCCGATATTCCGTGGGGTCGGGGGGCTCGGATGTTTGTCACCTTTTTCATACCTGATGAGTTTGCATCCCTGCTTATGTTCTGTGGGATGAAACTGTCTCTGAGTCTGGTGGTTTTAGACCTGATACTGAGCAGTTTGTGGCTGGGGTGATGGGGGTATGTGTTTTAAAAACCTAAAATGATCTTCACAAGTTGAGACAATTTCCCCCCCCCCCCCCCACCTTATCACCTGAATCTCCTCCTAGAGCACCATTGAGTTCTTTGTAACCAAATCTCTCTCGGAGGGGCGTGGGGAGGGGCTCCTTACTTTCATCTAAAGTAACAGACAGAGAATCAGCACTTTGGAAACAGGGCTGAAACAGAGGGGATTATGGGATGCTGCAATGATCTGTTTGGTGTTTCAGCCAATCAGAGACATGCTCTGTATATATCTGAGCCCTGTGATATATTGATGAAAAACAGTATGATAGGGGCCTTTAATGTATTTCTATAAGTCTTATTCTATATCTTGAGACTATATAAAGTCCAATATTTGCCTCTGAAATGTTGTGGAGTGTTACTGTAATCCTTTTCTCTGATCCCACATGAATCAGACGCTCGCTACATAAAATATCTCCTGTAACAACCAGTTCCTGGAACAGCTGAGCTGATAAGATAGTTAAACATTGTGCATGAGCTTTTGTCTGCTTTTATCTTTGTTATTGTTTTTAATATCTGACACTCAGATATGCCCAATGCTTCCTCTATGTTCAGCGTGCATGACTAAACATTCCCAGAAAGCTCTCTGGTGTCCCCGGCTTCCCCTCAGACATTTCACTTTCTACCCTTTGTGCTTCATATTGACTCCTGACCTTTGACCCTTTCAGACCCTGAAGCTGTCGAGCCGGGTGTTGGATAAGATCAGCACGGGTGATCTGGTCAGTCTGATGTCGGCTCACCTCAACAAGCTCGATGAGGTGAGAAAACACGAATATTTAGTTAGATTTGATGTTAACTCGAGCCGCCCTGTTATGCTTTTAGGGGTTTCCCTTTCCTGTAGTGGGTTCTATAGGTTTCTGTGCATGTAAATGGTCTGCAAAGGCTATAATGATGGTGTTCTCTCCAGGGGGAGTTTCTCTCACACACACTTAAAGCATAATATGTCCTCTTTAATGTCAATTTGAATGCTTTAAATCCATATGTAAGGTACTTGTCAAAAAGTGTTTGGTTGGGTTGCAAGTAATGCATATTTCACTGTGTGTTAAAGAATCTTTAATCACAACTAAAACCTTTTTAATGAACACATTTAAAGGTGGGGTAAGTTTGAGAAACCGGCTCGAGATACACTTCCATGGAATGCTCTTAACATCCCGATAGCAATGAATATCTGAAGTGCTTTGACAAAAAATCCATACAAATATTTCATCTGTGGAAGCCGAAGCTGTAAAAAGCACGACCAATCATCTGAGCCGGCTAAAGTAACTGGATGGCCTACCTGCCTGTCAGCCTTCCATCTGGGCACAAACTTATCTCGTGCCCTCATTGGTCATGTGCGCGTTCGTGTGTGTTGGAGGAGGGGCTCTGTGAGGAAGTGGCAGATTTGTTCCGGCTGTGTATTTTCAAATTCTAGCGCACTCGAGCTGGTTTCTCCAAAATGACCTACCCCACCTTTAAGAAGATTGAAGCGTGACATGTGAATACATTATAAACTCTAGGCTACGACTAATGGTGAAGTGGAGCTAACAAAATAAAAGAACCCTCAAAACCACTAAATGTTTTGAAATAGAACAGACACTAATTGCTAAATAAGATTTGAGTGTACTATGAAGTATAGTATGTGACAGAAAGTGCAGCGTTTAAAACAATTGCCAAACTTTTGAAACACATTGTTGAATTAACAGTTTTTATTTGTAAAGAAGACAAGACACTACAAACAACACACAGCCATAAAGTGGGAATCAAATATGAAACAGTGACATTAATAATAGAAAATCAGATGCTGATGTTACAATGCAAAGTACAGACTATAGTAGAAAAACAGATAAGGGTTAAGCAAGGCTACTTCTTTACCCATGTGGGATGGGGACAACCCTTTCATTTGAGGTAATACAACTTAAAATGGACTTTTCAATGTGAGACAACTAACCAAAAGTCAGGTCCCTTTTTCAGGCCAGAGGATCAGAGCTGTAGTTTTCCACTCTGAAGAAGCCCGGGAAATGTTTTTGTTTGCGACACGATGAGGGAGAATAAGAATGACAGTTCACACCCTCACTCACTTCACTGAATCCATTGTATTACCCAACACACAGCCAAGTGTTCTTCATATTGAGGGGCCATTAGGACAATAGACTAAGAACAATACACACGTGTTTACAAGCACAACACACAGATAGGTGCGTACTCAAAGAAAGTGGTTTCTGGCGCTGTGAACCTGTATTGAAAAACTGATTATGCAAGGTGTGTGTGTGTGTGTGTGTGTGTGTGTGTGTGTGTGTGTGTGTGTGTGTGTGTGTGTGTTGTGTGTGTGTGTGTGTGTGTGTGTGGATTGAACTCAGACTTGCCTTTGGTCTCACTGAGGCGTTGAATGTGGAAACACTCTGCAACTCGCTTTGAGACAATTATCACCCGGGCTTGGATGTGACCACTCTCCCTTTATAATGACTGGTGGGGGTTACTGTGTCTGTCTGTGTGTGTGTGTGTGTGTGTGTGTGTGTGTGTGTGTGTGTGTGTGTGTGTGTGTGTGTGTGTGTGTGTGTGTGTGTGTGTGTGTGTGTGTGTGTGTGTGTGTGTGTGTGTGTGTGTGTGTGTGTGTGTGTGTGTGTGTGTGTGTGTGTGTGTGTGTGTGTGTGTGTGTGTGTGTGTGTGTGTGTGTGTGTGTGTGTGTGTGTGTGGTGTGTAGATGAAGGTGCATCTTAATCTGTGGAAAACCACTTTGCCTGATCGCTGGAAATGTCTTTTCTTTTTCAGTAGGATCAGGTTCATATATTTGTTTGATTTAAAGCAATACCTGCCGAAAACATACAGTATGTTATAAGTGTTGCATATTGTTAGCTTTAAGCTGTGGTGGCCAACAGGTGCAAACACGCTTCAACGGCCCAAAGCACTTCCATTAGGAGAAACACGCTCCAGTTTAAAAAACGATGCAAATATAAAAACATGAATGTGCCAAAACACATGCAGCGTTTTGAAAACATTCACCAACCTGACAAAACATGCAGGTTTACTGAAAGCGCTGCAAGAAGCTACAAACACAACAGAAACCAGGGGACACTAAATGTGTTAAGTTGTTGATGTTGGGGATCTCTGTTGTTGGAAACGTACTTGAAATGCAGTGTTGGGCAAGTTGCTTTAAAAAAGTTAGTTATAGTTACTGCTCTCAAAAAAGTAACTAGTTACTTTATTAGTTACTAAATTATAAAAGTAACTAGTAACAAATTACTTTACTTTAAAAATAATAATAACACAAATACAAGTTTTTGTGTTGTTCTGTGGCACCGTAAGAGAAAAGACAACTCCCCACATGTAGCTGCATATTTAGGTGCTTCAGGAGATTGGCTGTTATTCGATGTGGACAATGCTTTCTGTCTGCACAGTTTACATTTGACCGTCATACTTTTTGCGTCCTTTATCCCCACACATTGAAAATAGTGGTTATATCTCCAAGTTGTAAATGCGCTGCTGCTCTCGCTGATACTTGCATCTGCCATAGTGTGTGCGTGTGTGCTGGTGGTGGGTGTTGCCGTGTATGTGTGTGTGTTAGCAAGTGTTTGTGTGTCTGTGTATTTTCCCCATAAGGCAAGACCCGCCCAACTCTGTCTCTGATTGGCTTACCCTGAAATGTTACCCCGCGTTAACCAATCATCACTCCTCTCTGGTCACTTTCACTTTTCCATGGTGCTGTGAGAGGACATCGTCTATTCTGTCTATTCGCCTGTAAATTACATCCGCAGGGAGATTCGGTTCAGTTGGATCACATAATGTAACGCAGTAACGCACACATTTAAATCACAGTAACTATAACGGCGTTACTGAATGGGGATAGGTAACTAGTAACGTTATTAGTTACCGCAAAAGGTAGTTGCGTTACAATAACGGCTGAAATGTAAATTATATTGGCTTATTTCAACATTGTGATCACATGATTCCTCACATGCAGGGCTATTAGAAAAAGTGTTGAGGAATAGAGAATGACTGAATGCACTACTACTCATTTTAAGTCTACAGTCTAAATCATGAAACCGAAACACAGTAAAGTTCACAGCTGAGTTGTCCTTGAACCTGACCTTTGACCTCTCTGTGGTCAAGAGCAAGAAGACATTTCCTAGCTGTGAAGTGTCAAGTGGTGAAGTTGACGTATTTTTGTACACCGAGCCAGTGATAACATCGCCCTGGCTCCCTCGACAATACTATTGAATCCAATTGATTTTAGAATCGATTAATCTGTTTCAGTAATTATTCTTAAGTATAACAGGAACAAGTCTATGATTTTTGTTTCTTAACTGTAAATGTGTTCTGGTTGCTTCAGCTTTATGACTGGCCTCTATAGGGCTTTTTATAGACCAAAATTATTAGACCAAATAATCAAGAAAATATTCAAGACAATATTCAACAGATTTATCCAAAATGATAATCAGTTGCAGCTGAAATTAACAACACTTTTTTACATTTTAAAGATCAAAATCTGGACGTCAAATGCTTTGTTAGGAACAACACCGCTGTCACATGACTTCAACGTTCCTCCAGCTTCCTACTTTTACGTTTTTCCAGCGCTTACCTTTTCCCGACATGTTGATGTCAGTCTAATTTAGCACTTATTAGCAACCATAAATGCTATGTATTCAGTGGGATATTTACGGTTTCATTTCGTAGAAAAAACATCAACGTTTCCGAGGCTTGTGTTGACCACAGACCTTTATTCAGGAATTTAAAACATTGGTTTCGAGACGAGGCCAAAGAATGCTATCTCATTTCCCGGGTTTTTCGGATTCCTGCAGCATCTTGCTCCTTTTTAATAAAATGCATGTTCCAGTTACCCCATGCACACTCATGGCCTCTCTCTCTGTGTGTGTGTGTGTGTGTGTGTGTGTGTGTGTGTGTGTGTGTGTGTGTGTGTGTGTGTGTGTGTGTGTGTGTGGTGTGTGTGTGTGTGTGTGTGTGTGTGTGTGTGTGTGTGTGTGTGTGTGTGGTGTGTGTGTGTGTGTGTGTGTGTGTGTGGTGTGTGTGTGTGTGTGTGTGTGTGTGTGTGTGTGTGTGTGTGTGTGTGTGTGTGTGTGTGTGTGTGTGTGTGTGTGTGTGTGTGTGTGTGTGTGTGTGTGTGTGTGTGTGTGTGTCCACTGCAGTCAGCATGTCGTTGTGTCCCTGAGACATTTCACCCTAAATTGCTCCTGTGGGGATTGTCCACAGTACTGAATGTATGTAAGTCGCTTTGGATAAAAGCGTCTAACAAGTAACATGTAATGTTGTGTGTGTGTGTGTGTGTGTGTCAGAGCCTGGGTCTGGCCCACTTCGTGTGGATCACCCCCCTGCAGTGCATCCTGTGTGTGGGGCTGCTCTGGGAGCTGATCGAGGTGAACGGCTTCTGTGCGCTGGCCACTCTCACTCTGCTGGGCATCATCCAGGCCTGGCTCTCCCAGAAGATGGGACCGCACCGGTGAGTAAGCACACACACACACACACACACACACACACACACACACACACACACACACACACACACACACACACACACACACACACACACACACACACACACACACACACACACACACACACACACTCATTGTAACATAGATAAATACTTCCTTTAAAACGAACTAATTCCGTTTTTTTATTTCTTATTCAGATACTACCCATAATTATTCAGATTTCATTTATATGTGTGTAAAGTAACTAAGTACATTTACTCAAGTACTGTACTTAAGTAGAGTTTTGAGGTACTTATACTTTATTTGATTTACTTACATTTCCATTTTATTCTACTCCACTATAATTATTTAATACCTTTAGTTTTTGATTAATGATGTGAAATATAATCAACTTTTAAATCAGAGTAACAGAGTATTCCTTCTCTCTGGCACTTCTACTTTCACACACACACACACACACACACACACACACACACACACACACACACACACACACACACACACACACACACACACACACACACACACACACACACACACACACACTTTGTATCTAAGAAGGTGTTACATAAATCCTTATTATTCAATACACCAATGCATACTGTTATATACAAGTTATATTTGACAATGTTACTTATTATGTTAATATAGAGATTTTATTTTATTGTTTTGTTGCACATCCTTACTTTTAAACAAATATTTCTACCCTTTTTTAAAATTGTATTTCATTCAAATCAGCTGCAACAAAACACAATTCCCCACGAGACACAGTATTCTATTTGTGTTGTTGTTTATTGTTGTTTGCCTGCATGCATTGGAGTTTGAGTTGTTGATGTTAAACTGTGTGAACAGGGCGGAGCGAGGCGGACTGATCAGCCGCCGCCTGGCTCTCACCTCGGAGATCGTGGAGAACATCCACTCTGTGAAGGCGTACGGCTGGGAGGAGGTGATGGAGACCATCATCAAGAACATCCGGCAGTAAGACACCAACACCACAACAACAACAACAGTTTCACAAAACAAACATCTTCTACAGCTGTTTTCTCTTCTTTAATAATCAATCAGCAATCAGAGTTGTGATAGTTGCTTCATTTAAGATGAAATATGAGGATAAAATAAAGATATTTTTTTAAATATAAGAATTTAAAGTAAATAACCAATAAAATACATTTATATAAACACCAGAAAAAATAGCAAATTGTCGAATAAAATATAAAAAGAGATTACAAATATTTATATTAACATAAGAATTTAATTAATAACGTCAACATCAAAAATGTAAAAGATAACAAGAAATACAGATTTTCTAAAATATTGTATTAAAGATATAATGAAATAGAGGAACGTTATTTATAAAAACAGGAAATTAAGTCAGATATTTTTTTGCCAAATATTGCACTTAAGTAGGACTTTTTCTCAAAATGTCAAAATTATGACTTTTTCTCAAAATCTCAAAATTATGACTTTTTCTTAAAATTATGACTTTCTCTCAAAATATAATTCCAAAATATGATAACTATACAATATGTATTAATAATGCACCCTTATACTATATATATGTTGATGATACAGATGTTTATGAACATATACTGTAATTAATTTAACTTAATAAAGAGAGATGTTAAAGGGGACCTATCATGCAAAATGCACTTTGTGTGTCGGGGAACTCACGCAGCGTCAGAAAATAAAACCCTCTCTCTTTTCCTCCGTACCCAAATATTTTAAAAACTGGAATACAGATTTAATGCCAATATGACGTAATTTCGGATGGTGAACCCACAGAGAGTTGCTATCAGAAACAATGCCTGATGTGTTTTGGACGTAATCTCGTCTTTGTTTACATTAGCAAGCCTCGCTAACACTCAGAGCTAACCTGTACTGGAGAGCACATGTGTTTTTAAAAAGCAGGAAATAAAAAAAGAACTCACCTTGTGATAAACCTGAGAGAGAGAGAAAGCATTTGAGCTCCATACTGTTTCAGAAATAACCCTTGATGTGGTTTAGAACAGGATGGCGTTTTATCACAGCAGAATGTAACTTTATCTCCGGTAGAATTCTGATCAGGCATTAGCTCCGCCTCCTCTTTTTTGTGTGTGTGTTAAGGACCCAAAATCAGCGTTTCTCTAACAGGGCTGGAATAGAGGGGTTTGAGGGATTTCTAAAATGCATCATCTGTTGAGCAAAACACATCATAGACATGTTTTTATATATTTGTATATATCTGAGACCCATAATATATGCCTAAAACACTTTAAAACATGTGGCTAATCCTCAGAACCTCGCTGGCTTCAGATCCAGAATCAGGGTCACTTTATTTGAGAACACTAAACGCAGAGGACAGAGTTTTGCTGTCGTGGTGCAGAAACATGTTTGATAACTGAAGAGCTAACACTGAGCCACCAGGACTTCACACGGACTCGATAATAGCATCATAAAAAAGTGACATGCTGTGAACGCGCCTCAATGCTGGTCGTTCTCTGAAAACACCAGACGTTCACTGGAACTGTTAAGCGTGTGCGATGTGGCTGGAATCCAAAATGTTATATTAAAAACAATGGTATTTTTTTAATACAAATTACATTCAGATTGAGAATGCGTAATTCAGTGGTGAACCGTCAGGGCCTTCAAGGTATTCAGACCCTGGAACACTCAGATAAAACACTCAGATAAAACAAACAAAAAATCGATTTAATTATATAAATAAAATGTAATAAAATGAATAAATGAGAATCGTATCCGTGTTGTTGATCTGTAATATTACAGTGTTACGTTGATTTGTTTGTCCTTCTCGGACCATGCACTACGCATTTCAGTGGTTTTGCAACCAATCAGATCTTGTTCTGGGTCTCTGGGTAGAATATCCTTCAACCAAGGTATTCTACATCCTTGATCGAATGCGTTTCAATACTGCGGTGATGAAACGCCATATCATGGATTATCAAGGATTCTCTCTGAAACAGTCTGGAGCTCAAAGGCTTTCTCTCTTGCCGGTTATACCACAAGGTGAGTTCCTTTTTACTTCCTGCTTCTTCACACACATGCTCTCCAGTACAGGTTAGCTCTGAGTGTTAGCGATGCTAATGTAAACACCGACCATATTACGTCCAAAACAGTCGGGCATTGTTTCTGATAGCAACGTTTCTGATTGGGCCGTGGGTCCACACTTCAGATATTACGTCATATCGGACGCAAATCTGGATCAGCTCCGTTGTTCCCCGTTTTTAGAGATTTGGGTACGGAGGAAAAGAGACAGGGTTTTATTTCCTGACGCTGCGTGAGTTCCCTGACACACCGGGACACATGTTGATGTATAAAAGACATTAGAAAGTGCATTTTGCACGATAGGTCCCCTTTAACACAGGGAAGATAAAGTACAATTGTTGAAAAAAATCGAAACATTTAATATAGTTAAGTATTTATACACACATAAGAAATTTAAATATATATAAAATAAATAAATGTGTATTAAAGTAGTCAAATAAAAAATGGTCATTATAAAACAAAATGGAATTTAAATAGTCATTCAAACGTAAATGTAAAAATGTGCCAAAAAGATGAATACAAATATGAGAATAAGAATTTGAAGTAAACAGTGTCTTATTGTACAATATATAACAACATAGAAATATATACAATTGTGTATATTACAATATTTGCAGTGGTTTAACAGTAATGATAAATATCTTAATGACAGATGTCACATGTTAAATAACTTCATATCAGCAATAAAGCTTATTATCATATTTACTTATGATATTTAAGGACAGAAATTATCTCATCCCGTCTTTTCTTCCATCCCTCTTCCTCCTCAGGGACGAGATGACGCTGACGAGGAAGATCGGGTCTCTGCGGTACTTCTACAGCGCCTCCTACTTCTTCTCCGCCATCCTGGTCATCGTGTCGGCCGTCGTGCCGCACGCGCTCAGTAAAGGCATCATCCTGCGCCGCATCTTCACCACCGCCTCCTACTGCATGGTGCTGAGGATGACTCTGACCCGCCAGCTGCCCGGGTCCATCCAGATGTGGTACGACACGCTGGCGCTGGTCAAGAAGATCGAGGTGAGTCCAGAGAGACAGGGGAGGAGGGAGTAGACGTGTTAAAGGTGAATATATACTGTATGTTAGAAAAATCTCACTGGTCCCCGGCTTGAGCTTCAAATCAGGATCCACGTATCTGTGATCCTCTCCAGAATGGAAGGAGTCATCACATACAGAGCATCAGCTAGTTCCTGAACAGTGTCCTTCACATGCTGATATCCAAGAGAGGGAGTTACACAGTCACAAGATGGAGGAATACCAGTTATTCTAGGTTATCATACAGTTTTTTTCTCAAAATGTTGGATTTTCTGAAAATCAAAAAATGTTGACTTTTTCTCAAAATCAAAAAAATCTGACTTTTTCTCAAAATGTTGATTTTTTTTTGTCACAATTCTGACTTTTTCTCACAATTCTATCTTTTTCTCAAAATTCTCACTATTTCTCAATTTTCTTACTTTTTCTCAAATTTCTAACTTTTTCTAAAAATTCTCACTTTTTCTCAAAATCTAAAAATTCTTTTTCTGAATGCTTAACATTTTTAAATATCACTCGTCAGCGGCTTGAGCTTCAAATCAGGATCCACGTATCTGTGATCCTCTCCAGAATGGAAGGAGTCATCACATACAGAGCATCAACTAGTTCCTGAACAGTGTCCTTCACATGCTGATATCCAAGAGAGGGAGTTACACAGTCACAAGATGGAGGAATAGAAAGCAGTCTTCAATGTTTACTTCAGATTAGCTCCACGTCAGAAATGAGCATGCTTGATGTCTATCTCCACAGAGGCTGAATCATCATGTTAATCACATAGCTATCATCTGCCTCAAACAGTCCTGATGCTCTTCTAGGTAATCACACATCCTGTCATGTTCACAGCTACAGTTGGGATACCTTTGTTATCATGTTACTCTCATATTGGAAGAGGACATTCAGAATTTTCCCAACACTATATATATAATCAATCAATCAATCAACAACTTTCTAAATAATGATTTTGAAAAGTGATTTGTCTTAAGAGCCGGTAGAGCATATATACGCCCTGATGGCAACATATAATGCTGATGTTACTCTCCAGGAATTCCTGATGAAGGAGGAATACCGAGCGATTGAGTACAACCTGACCACCACCGAGCTGGAGCTGGTCAACGTTTCTGCATCCTGGGACGAGGTTTGTTCTATTTCTGTCAATTCTCCATGTGGTACTGCGACAAAATGTCTCTCACTTGACTATTTCACTTACAACGGTATATCAAAGGATAACACCCTATAGCCCTATAGTCTTGGGGACACTTATGGAGAATAAGTGTCCCCAAGACTATAGAGCAGCTATTTGCCTCCTGAACTCATCCTCCTAAGTGCACCAAAAAAACGTTATATATAGGCGCTTTTACACCAAATACTTTGCCGTACTTAGTTCATCAGAACTCTTTAGTTCTCATGAACTAAGTACAGATCGCGTTCACACCGGAATAAGTCCCTGAGGGAGGATTAGGCAAATGAAGCCGCTGACGTCACTTCGTCTTCTTCTGCTTTGGGTTTACTGGCAGGCCGCAAACAACTTCACAGCGTATACTGCCACCGGAAGTCCCCGGCAGGAAGTCCCCGGAGTTGGGGACTACTACGATTTACTACTTCTGAGTAAATCGCCAGAACGCCGACACCTCCTCATCTCCACCGCTCCCATGTTTTTTTTTGTGTTGCCATAAGTTAGTCTCTCTCCGTTTGTGCGCTGGGCTAATGCTAATGCTAATAATGCTAATGCCAGCAAATACAACGGCGGCTTCACAAAACATTTGGGAGTTTTACGGGGCGTGGTTTGCAATCCGCCCAGCCAATCAGAAATGGGAACCTTTTTCTCCCACGAAAGTACTCCGGTGTGAAAGCGCCTATTGCTTCTCAAACCAAAAATAAAAACAACACCCCTTCCCCCTTCCCAGGTAATAAACACATAGCTTTTTGATGAATTAAACTAGTTAAACCAACATAAGTCTATAAAATAAGACATAAGAATAAATATAATTAAATTAAAAGCCAAATTAAAATGTAGGTCTTGATTTGGCTCCGAAAAGTATGAATTTAGAGCTTGTCTTCAACATAAGGCGAAACAAAATGACCTAACCTGAATGTTCTCAAATCACTTCAGACTTTCTGGATGACTGCATTGTCTTGTTTATGTCTCTTATGCTGGTGTTATGTATTGTGTATCTTGTTTTTTATACGGCGACCTTGAGAGCCTTGAAAGGTGCCTATATAAAATAAATGAATTATTATTATAACATCTCAATAATCCCTCAAAAAAAGGTAATAGAAAATAAAAAGCTGCTTGGATTCTTTCACGCCAATGTTTAATGATAATTAGATTTCTAAATCGTGCAGCCCCTTTTTAGATTTCATACATTGACATATTTCATCCAATAAGTTACAAGAAATGCAGAAAGGAAAAGGAAAAGTTAGACATTAATGGTAAAGTGTTGGTATTACATACTGCAGTTCGTCCATCTGACTAGACTGGCTGGATATGTTTGTTTATAATAATAATACATGCTATTTGTATAGCGCTTTTCCTGGTGCTCAAAGCGCTTATAGTATACGTTTTAGGGAAGAAATATAGGCCCATCAACTGATAAACTACAGGGTTCTTGTGGTCATTAAAAACCTGGAAAAGTCATGGAAATTCAAAATGCTAATTCCAGGCCCTGGAAAAGTTTTGGAAAACAATATTTTTCCCAAAGTTTTGGAAAAGTCATGGAAATTGAACTAAAGTTGCATCAAATATAATTGATATTTTATCTAATCGCGGAAATAGTAATACTATAATGATAATAAATACTGTATAGTATTGAAACGTAAAATGGCATTTAACTGTCGAGGTATTTTGCTGGCGAGAGATTTTAGTTGCTTTAGCGTGTAGAAGCTAGTAAGCCTATTTGATTTGTTTTAGATAAGCACAACATGTTTCAGACCTTATTTTCCTGTTCCATGTTCAAATAAACTATTTTCAGTGGCACCGCTGAGAAAGAGTAATTTTTTTGGTCATGGAAAATTAGGTAAAGGTCCTGGAGAAGTCATTGGTGAAGAAGTGTATGAACCCTGAAACTATCTGATGTCAATATTAGTATTTATATTTGCCCCAGAAATCTAGAATCAGTCAAATTTGAGCACATTTACTGTAAGAGAGAAGCTAAATCTCCCACACCCTGAACGCACCATGCCCTATACAGGTGTAGTTAACTCCTCACCATGGGTAGTATATCTTATCTACAGTATGGACAGAGGCAGTCAACAGGTTTGATTCATTGACCACCGGACCCCGTGGGAAAACAAACTGAGGTTTCTTTTTCCCCGTCACTTTGCATAATTAATTACCCCGGTGTCGTCACCAAACTTTGCCTTTTGCTGGGAACGCTGTGAGATTTCACCGTTGTGTTCACCGTCTAATTCCCAGATTCTCCTCTTGCCTTCTCCTCTTCCTGGAATGTGCCATTCTCCCATGAATGGGAGGGGTGTTGCCTTTCTTTACAGCTGACAGCATAGCATATACGTCAGCTCATTACAATGAGAATCGCACAGGCCCAACGTAAACAAACCAGCAACGAGTCGCAGCATTAGAGGAACAGTGACCCATAAAAAAGCAGCGGGGGGGTCAATGATTAAACTCAAGAACAGTTCCTCCTTTTCTTCTAACATTGATGTGTCATTCGTTAATGTGTGCAGAGGCGCTGACGGATGAGGAGAGATCAGGCCATTGTGAGGCTTGAACTGTCTTTGGAGAATCTCCTGTTTCTCACAGCAGTTTGATTCTGAAAGTCAGTCAGCACTGAAGCACGACAAAAACGAAACAAAAGCACAAATCATGTCCACTTACATGTACACATACCTAATGAGTTATAATTAAGCGTAGTATGGTACAGGATTAGTAAACTATGTTCTCTTGTTCTTGTTCATCTTTGTTTTCCTCTTGATTTGCCCCTTCTTCCTCGTCTTGTGAGTTCGAACTGCAACAACAACAAGGACAACTGATTGCTTAATCCAATTGACAAAAACAAATAATTACATTACATGTCATTTGTTAGACGCTTTTATCCAAAGCGACTTACATACATTCAGTACTGTGGACAATCCCCACAGGAGCAATTTGGGGTGAAGTGTCCCAGGGACACAACGACATGCTGACTGCAGTGATACTCGAACTTGGTACCCCCTGATTCGAAGTCCATCACACTATCCACTGAGCCACAGCCTCCCTGATTGTAACTTTTTGATAATCTTTTAATCATTTAAGTCATTTATCAGTCACTAATGGCGGAAACTGCTCTTTTCAGGCTCTCAAATACGGAGAATTCATACTTTTTCTCAGTGTTATCTTAATACAATGAACATATTTGGGTTTTTAATTGACCTTACAATAAATTGTCTTGTCCTTTTAAGAAGGTAGGATAGCATTTTTAAACGGAAACTGTTACTTGCAGTCGCAGCTCTTATCTGGTTTATATTAATACTATTTCAAGCGCACACATTTTAGTCCACATATGTTTCAAACTCCACAAACTGGGTAATTTTAAATGATTCTTCAGTATGTTTCTACTATCTCTGGTGTTGGTTCAGTCCATTGAAAACGGATAAGACTCTCATTTTGAATTCTTCTGCAGGGCATTGGTGAGTTGTTTGAGAAGATCAAGCAGGAGAACAAAGCTAACGGACATCTGAACGGAGACGCCGGCATCTTCTTCACCAACCTCTACGTCACACCTGTCCTGAAGAACATCAGCCTGTACCTGGAGAAAGGAAAGATGCTGGCAGTGGCCGGATCCACGGGCTCAGGGAAGGTAGGTCAGAACATCTCAGTGTGAGAGTGTTTGTAGAGATTATACGCTAAATCTCAAATAATTCTAAATCCATCTAATGTTTGGTAAAGTTATACTCAACCAACACAACATGCTGATCATAGATTTGTGCAGGAATGAGTCCTAAAACCAGGAAATTAGTCAGCATTAACACTTCTGGTTTCTTTTGTCTCAAAGTCAATGGTTTTTTCAATCAGTTTGTTAGATGAATAAAATAAGGTCTGTGGTTAAAACAAGCTAAAGAGAGGTTCACGTTTTGACTTAAAATACATCAGTAAATACCCAACTGGTGGATTTAAAAATGGCGGATGCTAACAGTGGCTAAATGAAAGGACTAAACGTCATCACGCCCAACATTAGCCACCCTTAGCTTAGCAGTGCTGACGTGAAGTCATGTGACCGTGCTGTAGTTAGTTTATAGCCCAACATTAGCCACCCTTAGCTTAGCGGTGGTGACGTGAAGTCATGTGACCATGCTGTAGTTCCTTTATAGCCCAACATTAGCCTCCTTTAGCTTAGCAGTGCTGACGTGAAGTCATGTTACCGTGCTGTAGTTCCTTTATAGCCCAACATTAGCCACAATTAGCTTAGCAGTGCTGACGTGAAGTCATGTGACCATGCTGTAGTTCCTTTATAGCCCAACATTAGCCACCCTTAGCTTAGCAGTGCTGACGTGAAGTCATGTGACCGTGCTGTAGTTCCTTTATAGCCCAACATTAGCCACAATTAGCTTAGCAGTGCTGACGTGAAGTCATGTGACCATGCTGTAGTTCCTTTATAGCCCAACATTAGCCACCCTTAGCTTAGCAGTGCTGACGTGAAGTCATGTGACCATGCTGTAGTTCCTTTATAGCCCAACATTAGCCACCTTTAGCTTAGCAGTGCTGACGTGAAGTCATGTGACCGTGCTGTAGTTCCTTTATAGCCCAACATTAGCCACCCTTAGCTTAGCAGTGCTGACGTGAAGTCATGTGACCGTGCTGTAGTTCATTTATAGCCCAACATTAGCCACCTTTAGCTTAGCAGTGCTGACGTGAAGTCATGTGACCGTGCTGTAGTTCCTTTATAGTCCAACATTAGCTTTTTAATAATCATTAAGTGGTGGTAATATGTGGAGATGATCCTGCTGAACAAAACGTGTAAGTATCATAATGGTGGTTTTTGCAATATTTAAAAATCCAAAAACCCCATTGGCTTTTCGTTAAAACATCATCACTGCACCACTTAATTGCAGCTTGTATTAAAGTAGAGCATTGTTTTAATACTTAACTTTCCAAATGTAGTATATCGTGTTAAGATTTACCCAAATGTTGTCAATAGATTCGACCGCTGCATCAACACCGCTGCAAACCTAGCTTATATGTTCTCTTTTTGTCTCAGATTAAAAGGCTTCTGGGGTTTTGTTTTTGGAAGCTTATCAGGAATTCTAGAAATGAATACAAAGGGCCTATATTCTGTTGCTCTAGAGTTACTTCTGAAGGGTAAATCAATACAAAATAGATGAAAAAAAGCACTGCTTCAATTGTAACATTGCATGATTGTATCTGTCCTTTAATAAAAACACATTATACAATAAATGTAGTATATCAAAGAGACCACATTTCGCCTGTGCTGGAATCACTGCACTGGTTGCTGGTGTCCTTCAGAAGTGCTTTGAATGATTAACAAGGCTTTACATAACCGTGCACCAACATAATTAAGTGACTGTCTCTCATTTCATCAACCAGCAAGGACACTTAGATCCTCCAATGGTTCACTTTTAAAAGTACCTAGAGTAGGGCTGCACGATTTGGGGAAAAAATCTAATTGCGATTTTTCTGACAGATATTGCGATTCGATTTGCGATATTTGTTTTTAAGTGACCCAACGGAAGTTTATTGTAAAATGCAGCCATATCTCCGGCTAGGAAGGTCGTATCAACGTTCTCCCGTCTCTAGCACCCCGCAGCCCGAGCTACGAGTGAAATAACTAAAGTTACATGAAACTTCCGTTGGGTTGCTTTAAAGTCAAGCTTCAGTTTAAGATTCACCCTGTAATAGAAACATGTGATGGATCATTACTAACCTGAGTCAGATGGTTTCACCAAAGCATCTAGGAAAGCTCCATTGGAAGCCATTTGGAAAAGTATTTCAAAAATACTTGGCAGGTGATTGGATCAATCTGTCTCTCACCTTCTATCATGGGCCTCTTCTGATTGGTTAACAATGGCTGGTACATGTGGAGCACAGCACTTCTGATTGGTGTGGATGACTGACACACAAGAAGAACACAATCGATTAATCGTTCAGCCCTAACCTAGAGTGCATTACAAGAAAACTGGGGAGGCTGCTTTCTGCTTTTATGGCCCAAAACTGTGGAACGGTCTCCCATTTCATCTTAGAACGGCAACCTCCATTGGAAGACAGACAATTAAAGACCTATCTTTTGAATTTGGCTTATCATTTTTAGTAGTATTACTGTTCATGTTTTATTGTTTTACAGAGGTGGGAAGTAGTGGAGTACAAATACTTCGTTACTGTACTTAAGTACATCGTTCTGGTATCAGTACTTTACTCCACTACTTATTTTTCTGACAACTTTTACTTCTTACATGTTGAACCCAAATACCTGTACTTTCTACTTCTTACATGTTGAACCCAAATACCTGTACTTTCTACTTCTTACATGTTGAACCCAAATACCTGTACTTTCTACTTCTTACATGTTGAACACAAATACCTGTACTTTCTACTTCTTACATGTTGAACCCAAATACCTGTACTTTCTACTTCTTACATGTTGAACACAAATACCTGTACTTTCTACTTCTTACATGTTGAACTCAAATACCTGTACTTTCTACTTCTTACATGTTGAACTCAAATACCTGTACTTTCTACTTCTTACATGTTGAACTCAAATACCTGTACTTTCTACTTCTTACATGTTGAACTCAAATACCTGTACTTTCTACTTCTTACATGTTGAACCCAAACACCTGTACTTTCTACTTCTTACATGTTTAACCCAAACACCTGTACTTTCTACTTCTCACATGTTGAACACAACTACCTGTACTTTCTACTTCTTACATGTTGAACACAAATACCTGTACTTTCTACTTCTCACATGTTGAACACAAATACCTGTACTTTCTACTTCTTACATGTTGAACACAACTACCTGTACTTTCTACTTCTCACATGTTGAACACAAATACCTGTACTTTCTACTTCTTACATGTTGAACACAACTACCTGTACTTTCTACTTCTTACATGTTGAACACAAATACCTGTACTTTCTACTTCTTACATGTTGAACACAACTACCTGTACTTTCTACTTCTCACATGTTGAACACAAATACCTGTACTTTCTACTTCTTACATGTTGAACCCAAATACCTTTACTTTCTACTTCTTACATGTTGAACACAAATACCTGTACTTTCTACTTCTTACATGTTGAACTCAAATACCTGTACTTTCTACTTCTTACATGTTGAACACAAACACCTGTACTTTCTACTTCTTACATGTTGAACACAAATACCTGTACTTTCTACTTCTTACATGTTAAACCCAAATACCTTTACTTTCTACTTCTTACATGTTGAACACAAATACCTGTACTTTCTACTTCTTACATGTTGAACACAAATACCTGTACTTTCTACTTCTTACATGTTGAACACAAATACCTGTACTTTCTACTTCTTACATGTTGAACACAAATACCTGTACTTTCTACTTCTTACATGTTGAACTCAAATACCTGTACTTTCTACTTCTTACATGTTGAACTCAAATACCTGTACTTTCTACTTCTTACATGTTGAACACAAATACCTGTACTTTCTACTTCTTACATGTTGAACACAAATACCTGTACTTTCTACTTCTTACATGTTGAACTCAAATACTTGTACTTTCTACTTCTTACATGTTGAACACAAATACCTGTACTTTCTACTTCTCACATGTTGAACTCAAATACCTGTACTTTCTACTTCTTACATGTTGAACACAAACACCTGTACTTTCTACTTCTTACATGTTGAACTCAAATACCTGTACTTTCTACTTCTTACATGTTGAACTCAAATACCTGTACTTTCTACTTCTTACATTTTGAACCCAAATACCTGTACTTTCTACTTCTTACATGTTGAACACAAATACCTGTACTTTCTACTTCTCACATGTTGAACTCAAATACCTGTACTTTCTACTTCTTACATGTTGAACCCAAATACCTGTACTTTTTACTTCTTACATGTTGAACACAAATACCTGTACTTTCTACTTCTTACATGTTGAACCCAAATACCTGTACTTTCTACTTCTTACATGTTGAACACAAATACCTGTACTTTCTACTTCTTACATGTTGAACCCAAATACCTGTACTTTCTACTTCTTACATGTTGAACACAAATACCTGTACTTTCTACTTCTTACATGTTGAACCCAAACACCTGTACTTTCTACTTCTTACATGTTGAACACTAATACCTGAACTTTCTACTTCTTACATGTTGAACTCAAATACCTGTACTTTCTACTTCTCACATGTTGAACACAAATACCTGTACTTTCTACTTCTCACATGTTGAACACAAATACCTGTACTTTCTACTTCTTACATGTTGAACACAAATACCTGTACTTTCTACTTCTTACATGTTGAACACAACTACCTGTACTTTCTACTTCTTACATGTTGAACACAAATACCTGTACTTTCTACTTCTTACATGTTGAACACAAATACCTGTACTTTCTACTTCTTACATGTTGAACACAAATAACCTGTACTTTCTACTTCTTACATGTTGAACTCAAATACCTGTACTTTCTACTTCTTACATGTTGAACTCAAATACCTGTACTTTCTACTTCTTACATGTTGAACACAAACACCTGTACTTTCTACTTCTTACATGTTGAACACAAATACCTGTACTTTCTACTTCTTACATGTTGAACCCAAATACCTTTACTTTCTACTTCTTACATGTTGAACACAAATACCTGTACTTTCTACTTCTTACATGTTGAACTCAAATACCTGTACTTTCTACTTCTTACATGTTGAACACAAACACCTGTACTTTCTACTTCTTACATGTTGAACACAAATACCTGTACTTTCTACTTCTTACATGTTGAACACAAATACCTGTACTTTCTACTTCTTACATGTTGAACACAAATACCTGTACTTTCTACTTCTTACATGTTGAACACAAATACCTGTACTTTCTACTTCTTACATGTTGAACACAAATACCTGTACTTTCTACTTCTTACATGTTGAACTCAAATACCTGTACTTTCTACTTCTTACATGTTGAACACAAATACCTGTACTTTCTACTTCTTACATGTTGAACACTAATACCTGTACTTTCTACTTCTTACATTTTGAACACAAATACCTGTACTTTCTACTTCTTACATGTTGAACACAAATACCTGTACTTTCTACTTACATTTGAACAATACTATTCTTACATGTTGAACACAAATACCTGTACTTTCTACTTCTTACATGTTGAACACAAATACCTGTACTTTCTACTTCTTACATGTTGAACACAAATACCTGTACTTTCTACTTCTTACATTTTGAACCCAAATACCTGTACTTTCTACTTCTTACATGTTGAACTCAAATACCTGTACTTTCTACTTCTTACATGTTGAACTCAAATACCTGTACTTTCTACTTCTTACATGTTGAACTCAAATACCTGTACTTTCTACTTCTCTCATTTCCCAAACAGCTGGTTCCTTTAGTCTGAATGTGTGTTTGGTGCGTGATCATTATTCTTTAGAGTCATTGCGTGCCTATTGATTTGAACACGATCCGTGTATCCATCATTTCCTGGTCTTCTCTAAAGAAGAGGGACCAATGGAAACGTTGTCATGTTGCCGTTGTTCAGCATGGAAACATTCATTAGCTAACAATGACATTATTGTTCTATTAATATAAAGGGAGGTCAGGTACTCTTTAAAACAGCTGCTAGTTATGGGTACTTTTGACTTAAGTACATTTCAAAGCCTCTTTACTTCTACTTGAGTAAAGAAGTTTAGTCAGTACTTCGTATTTTTGAACACGAGTATCTGTACTTCTACTTGAGTAAAGGATGTGTGTACTTTTGCCATCTCTGTTGTTTTAACATATATTATTGTTCCTAATTTGTTATTGTGATTTGTTTGTCATACTCTGTAAAGCACTTTGGGCTGCGTCAAGCATGAAAGGGGCTATATAAATAAAGTGTATTATTATTATCAAAATGTGACTTCCTGCTTCCTGCAGAGCTCCCTGCTCATGCTGATCCTCGGGGAGCTGGTGCCGTCGGAGGGTAAAATCCGACACAGCGGACGGGTCTCCTTCTCGCCTCAGACCGCCTGGATCGTGCCGGGGACGATCAGAGACAACATCCTGTTCGGGCTGACATACGACGAGTACCGCTACACCTCCGTCATCAAGGCGTGCCAGCTGGAGGAGGTACTTTCAAAATATCATTCTTCTTTTATCTCATATGTTTTTGCAGATGTAGGAGGTGTGATCAACCCTGGTGGTTGTTGTTGCTCATGCACACACTAAACAGATTATCTTTTTATAATGTTTTATTTCGTTTATTCTAAAATCACCAAAAGACATAACATAGATTCTGTCGTAGCAAGAGGATTTTTGCCAAGATTTTCAAGGTGGTACATTATCTGCAGCCTGTTTTCAGTCAGACGACCATGTCCTCAAACATCTCAAAACACAAAATCTACTAAATCTTAGTTTTATAAAGTGGCAGAGAATTGAAATACTGAAGTAAAGTACCTTAAAACTGTACTTGAGTACGATACTTGAGTATATATACTTAGTTACAGTCAAACGCTGACTAAATATGACTTTATAGTTACAAATATTATATTTTTAGGTGCAGATTTCTCTCCAGCAAATGTGTTTTTGCTCCTCAAGTCTGATGCTCTCTGCTTTCTTTTCCTTTTTCTGGCATCAAGTAGTTTCAGGTTTCCCCCCCGTCGACATTTACACCCTTTATGTCCCTCTCTCTCTCTCTCTCTCTCACACACACACACACACACACACACACACACACACACACACACACACACACACACACACACCCACACACACACACACACACACACACACACACACACACACACACACACACACACACACACACACACACACACACACACACACACACACACACACACACACACACACACTCTCGCTCTCATAAGCCTCAGTGTTGAGTGACGGGCCCCTCAGCAGAATAATGTCTCCTCTGTTGCCATGGAAATCTCACATTGTGTCTCTGGGATGGAATATGAGACGTTTTCAACACACAGCAGAAAACATCAGATCTGTCGGCTGGTGTCAAATATGTGTTATATAGTTAAGCAGGAACATATGACTCTTAACCGTGCTTACCATGGTGAAAGATCCTAAAAGGGATTTGAATACATCTTTACCATCGATTTATAACATTATTGATTATTTTCCTTATTCAATCGTATGGTCTTTAAAATGTAAAAAAATAGCAGAAAATCTAGTTTTTTCTAAAAAATCTATGGGGTTGTCTGAAATGTCTTGTTTTACAATATTCAGTTTTATATGAAATAACACGAAGAAAAGCAGAAAGTCTTCCTATTTTTTAGGCTAAATTAAGCATTTTATGCCATGTTTGCAGAAAAAAATACCTTTACTAATATTTAATAGATTTGTTTACTGACAAACGACTTTTAGATAAATCCAATTATCATTGCCGCTCTATTTTTCAAATGGTTTCTTATACTGCTTATACTTTACTTTTTCATAATTAAATAAATTGAGTACAATGTGTAAACAGACACAAACAACAACAAATTATAACGTACATTTCTACACATAAATATTATGTTAAGAAGGTGATTTTAATGTGATTTATGATACGAACGTGGGTATTAAAAGGAACAAAAATACAGTTAATTACTACATTGAATATATACAGTAATGGATAGTGGCATGTATCCAAAGTAAAAAAAAAAAATCCATAATCTCATTTTTTTAAACCAATGTAAACGAACACTTACATAAAGTGTATGTTGATACATCAGTGACATTTTTTTGAGTGTTGATATTTTAAATCCAGCAGAGGGTTGGAGCGTGATGGTGTTTACTACCACGCCTAATCTCCTGTGTTTCAGTGTTTCTAACAAAAACAAAACATGTTGTCACTGCAAACAAAGCTGGCATGCCACATCCACGCCTCGATGTACCGTATGGTGTCTTTGAGGTGTCGGTATACTGTATGGAAATGACAGGAAGTGCTTTGTTTGTGAGTGTTAGGCTGAACATTGGAGACATTTCCTTCAAAGTTTAATTAAAAAAGCCGCTAACAAGAAGCTGTGTTTTGGTTGATACTCAGTTTCAGTTAGGAGTGATTGTTAATTAAAGTGCCATGTTTTGCATATCTTGTAGTAGTATAGCATTAAAGAAGGTACATCTTTAAACCAGAGTGATCTTATATTTGTATATCTCTAATTAGATCAATCCTAACGAGTTAAAAAGTACACATATTCTCAATTTTACAACTGTGTTTTGTGTGGTTAGATCAGATTAGATATACTTTATTGATACCAATGTGGGATTTCGTTTTGTCACAGCAACATGTAGACAAGGCCTTGCACATGAATACAAAATGAAATCAAATGGAAAATAAACATCGAAAGTAAATGTCCACATCCAAATGAAATAAAATAGAAAATAACAATTCATATTTTTTTGAGAAATTCTGCATTTTATGTCACGTAATATATAAATAAAAAGCTAAAATAGAGGAAGTTTGAAGGGGGAAAATTCCCCAAGACGACTGTGACGAAGGTAGCCTTGTAATATTGCACATGTGGTCTAGTTTGAAAGTGTTCCCCTCCCGTCTTGTCTGTTACTGGTGATTGTGGTCACCTGGTGGTCACCTGGTGGCCTGTGTTGTCTCCTCCCCCCCACCTGTGTCTTATTGGCCTGATTAGTGTGTGTGTATTTAGGCTCTGTTTTCCCTGTCAGTGGAGTGTGTGTGAGATCCTTGCTGCTGGTCACTGTGTTCACATGAGACAGTAAGATTGAGGCTGTGTCATGTACCACAAGGAGTAATAAATGCCCACACCGGGTTATATTTTAACTCTCTGCCTCCTTGCTTGGTCGGGTCGCTCAACGGTCAGTCTCACAGCGACCCTGAGAGACGATGCGTTTAGGGGTCTTGTGCAGCAGACAGACGATGCGTTTAGGGGTCTTGTGTCGTCTTGTGCAGCAGACAGACGATGCGTTAAGGGGTCTTGTGTAGCAGACAGACGATGCGTTTAGGGGTCTTGTGCAGCAGACAGACGATGCGTTAAGGGGTCTTGTGTAGCAGACAGACGATGCGTTAAGGGGTCTTGTGTAGCAGACAGACGATGCGTTTAGGGGTCTTGTGTAGCAGACAGACGATGCGTTAAGGGGTCTTGTGTAGCAGACAGACGATGCGTTTAGGGGTCTTGTGTAGCAGACAGACGATGCGTTAAGGGGTCTTGTGTCGTCTTGTGCAGCAGACAGACGATGCGTTTAGGGGTCTTGTGCAGCAGACAGACGATGCGTTAAGGGGTCTTGTGTAGCAGACAGACGATGCGTTTAGGGGTCTTGTGCAGCAGACAGACGATGCGTTAAGGGGTCTTGTGCAGCAGACAGACGATGCGTTAAGGGGTCTTGTGTCGTCTTGTGCAGCAGACAGACGATGCGTTTAGGGGTCTTGTGCAGCAGACAGACGATGCGTTAAGGGGTCTTGTGTCGTCTTGTGCAGCAGACAGACGATGCGTTAAGGGGTCTTGTGCAGCAGACAGACGATGCGTTTAGGGGTCTTGTGTCGTCTTGTGCAGCAGACAGACGATGCGTTTAGGGGTCTTGTGCAGCAGACAGACGATGCGTTAAGGGGTCTTGTGTAGCAGACAGACGATGCGTTAAGGGGTCTTGTGTAGCAGGCAGACGATGCGTTAAGGGGTCTTGTGTAGCAGACAGACGATGCGTTTAGGGACCTTGTGTACTAGACAGACGATGCATTTAGGGGTCTTGTGTAGCAGACAGACGATGCGTTTTAGGGGTCTTGTGACTGTAATTCCTCCCATTGTTGCCCTTCAGCAGCAGACAGACTGTGGTGGGTGGTCCTCTCCTCTGTAAACTCCTCTCCAGCCTTTTTGTTCACACTGAGACACACAACACATGTTTTTACTGCGCTGCCTTACTTTACAAGCTGTTAAACACCCTGTTAACTTGATCCCCTACGCGCTGCCGTCAGGACGGCGGAAGCTGCCTTAAAAAGGTAGGTTTGTTTTAACGATGATAAGCCTGTGCTGTCACTTCATCCTTACTGGTGTGGGCGTGTAGTTTCACTTTCAATAACCAGCGTATGTGTTGGCTTGTGACATCCTTCATGTGTTCGTCCCATCTGTGATGTGTGCTTTTTGTTGTGCTTTGACAATAAAACTCTGATCAAATGAACATGAATGGCTTTAATGAGCAGGTAAACGTCATACACACAGAACTAGATACAATTTCCCCCAAAAAAAGAATTGTGTTACTGTAAATACTTTGTGGGTTTAATTGCAATACACTTGGATGAATACACTGCGAATGAATGGGAATAAGTGAAAAAATACTCAATTAGGATCACTTACAGATATTACAATTATTTTCAAGGACTTGAAACATTAAAAGTAATTAAATATATATATATATTTTAGGGGCAGATTTTCATTTAATTGAGAAATACATCCGTTATGTAAATAAATTAGTAAATATAGACTCCATGGCTCCATTTCCCACCTTGTTTATTCATATTTTAGGCATTTAATTGAAATACTTCAGTGCTCAAGTGATCAAGGTTTTTTGATCACCATTTAGAGAATAATTGAGAAATAACATGACAGGAATTAATTCACAAGGATAGTAAAGAAAGTAGAGGCTGATATGGAAGAGGTGGAAGTGAGATATTTTGACATGAATGTGTTTTGCCTTTCTGCCAAGCTCTCTGATATCACACCGTTCCTCTTGCTGTTGTATAAACGGTGATCCTGCATGTTTTTTGTTTGACCCTTTGACCTCTTTTATTTCCGCTCCAGGACTTTGCCTTGCTGCCGGAGAAAGACAAGACGCTCCTGGTGGAGGGAGGGGTGACGCTCAGCGGGGGTCAGAGGGCTCGCCTCGGCCTGGCCAGGTACTTCCTGTCACACCTGATATTCTATCTTATTCACCCCCTATTTTATATTACATTACGTTTCAAGATACCAAACCATGAGGATATGAGTTCAGAACAGCAGGAACCCTGCTAGTTCAAAAAGTGGCGCAGAGATTATGTATTAGGATAATCTTCACATATCGTCGCTAATGTTGGGCTATAAAGGAACTACAGCACGGTCACATGACTTCACGTCACCACCGCTAAGCTAAAGGTGGCTAATGTTGGGCTATAAAGGAACTACAGCACGGTCACATGACTTCACGTCACCACCGCTAAGCTAAAGGTGGCTAATGTTGGGCTATAAAGGAACTACAGCACGGTCACATGACTTCACTTCACCACCGCTAAGCTAAAGGCGGCTAATGTTGGGCTATAAAGGAACTACAGCACGGTCACATGACTTCACGTCACCACCGCTAAGCTAAAGGAGGATAATGTTGGGCTATAAAGGAACTACAGCACGGTCACATGACTTCACGTCGCCACCGCTAAGCTAAAGGCGGATAATGTTGGGCTATAAAGGAACTACAGCACGGTCACATGACTTCACGTCACCACCGCTAAGCTAAAGGTGGCTAATGTTGGGCTATAAAGGAACTACAGCACGGTCACATGACTTCACGTCACCACCGCTAAGCTAAAGGCGGCTAATGTTGGGCTATAAAGGAACTACAGCACGGTCACATGACTTCACGTCACCACCGCTAAGCTAAAGGCGGCTAATGTTGGGGGTGTTGACGTTTAGTCGTCTCATTTAGACACTTGTTAGCAACCGCTGTTTTTAAATTCACCAGTGGGGTATTTACTGCCGTATTTTATGTCGTAGAACAAAACATGAACATCTCTTCAGCTTTAAGACATTATTTTAAGGCAGCTTACCAAAAACATTGACATTTAGACAAAATGCTGAGTCATTTCCGGGTTTAAGGACCAAACCTTTTGAAATACTACATCATGTCTTTCAATCACTATTATTTCTGTATCCATTAGCACAGACATCATCCGCTAATTAGTCATAATGACAGCCATTTCTTTCCCCAACCTTTAATGTTTTGTTGGTTTGCAATCAACAAAAACAAATTTTTATTTAGTCATACCCCTAATTGGTGAAAAGACAAATATAGCAAGCAGTGAGATATTTCTGTGGCTTGTTTTCAAAGAGATAATCAATTTGTTTACTAAAATCTGTTGCATGGATCAAAAAGAGAGCTCCTCATGGACTTAAAAAACGTCATTTGTTCCTTTTTAAAAACCAACACACGTTCACCTCAGAAACTTCTATCCCCGTCAGAGGTCTGCATAAACATTATAGGTACCCAATAAATACATTAAAACCATCAATTTCAACGCAATAAACATCATTACTGGCACTTCCAAGGTAAGAGGCTCCATTCCTTGTAAGCCAATAAAAACGTCTGCTTAATAACATTTACAAGTGTGGAGGATTTAATGTCCTTGGCAATGTTTCAGGTTACAGTTTTTGTTCCCATCGGTGTAAAGAATGGAGCCTCTGTTGTAAATAATCAGAATCTGCTGGAGCTGATAAGCATCATCTATCACTCTTATCTGTGTGTGTCTGTCTGCACTAACTGTTGTGGTTTATGGTGTCAGGTTTCAATGACGAGTGCTTCCTAAGCCTTTTATTACTCCATTAAATCAGACACTCTCATATCTCAATGCATTATTTATTGGTTAAGTGTCTTGCATGCATCAGTTGCAACTTCTTCATTTACACCAATCTGGCATAGAGTTTTCCCAGTGGTGGATAGAGCCCTCTGATCCATTTCTTAAAGGACCCTATTATGCGTTTTTCTCTGTCCTGTAGTGTGTTATATGGTTTTTAGTGCATGTAAATGGTCTGCAAAGGCTAAAAATCCCTTCCCCTCTGCGTCAAACGCCTCCATTAGACTCATGGACGTGATAGGCTAAGGGGCGGGACATCTCTAAGCGGTCGACCAATCACAACAGAGCAGGCCAGCTAACCATTCAGAGCAGACTGGGCTCTGGTTTAAGACAGAGGGTGAAAAGAGGTGCTGCAGCACAGGCAGTAGGAGAACAAGAAAGAGCTTTTTGAACATTAAAGCATGAAGACATGTAGAGACACTACATACTGATATACACCTGAACATCAGCAGGAGAGGACTCTTTAAAGTAGAGACACTACATACTGATATACACCTGAACATCAGCAGGAGAGGACTCTTTAAAGTAGAGACACTACATACTGATATACACCTGAACATCAGCAGGAGAGGACTCTTTAAAGTAGAGACACTACATACTGATATACACCTGAACATCAGCAGGAGAGGACTCTTTAAAGTAGAGACACTTAATACTGATATACACCTGAACATCAGCAGGAGAGGACTCTTTAAAGTAGAGACACTACATACTGATATACACCTGAACATCAGCAGGAGAGGACTCTTTAAAGTAGAGACACTACATACTGATATACACCTGAACATCAGCAGGAGAGGACTCTTTAATGTAGAGACACTACATACTGATATACACCTGAACATCAGCAGGAGAGGACTCTTTAAAGTAGAGACACTACATACTGATATACACCTGAACATCAGCAGGAGAGGACTCTTTAAAGTAGAGACACTACATACTGATATACACCTGAACATCAGCAGGAGAGGACTCTTTAAAGTAGAGACACTACATACTGATATACACCTGAACATCAGCAGGAGAGGACTCTTTAAAGTAGAGACACTACATACTGATATACACCTGAACATCAGCAGGAGAGGACTCTTTAAAGTAGAGACACTTAATACTGATATACACTTGAACATCAGCAGGAGAGGACTCTAAAGTAGAGACACTACTGATATACACCTGACCATCAGCAGGAGAGGACTCTTTAAAGTAGAGACACTACATACTGATATACACCTGAACATCAGCAGGAGAGGACTCTTTAAAGTAGAGACACTACATACTGATATACACCTGAACATCAGCAGGAGAGGACTCTTTAAAGTAGATACACTACATACTGATATACACCTGAACATCAGCAGGAGAGGACTCTTTAAAGTAGAGACACTACTGATATACACCTGAACATCAGCAGGAGAGGACTCTTTAAAGTAGAGACACTACATACTGATATACACCTGAACATCAGCAGGAGAGGACTCTTTAAAGTAGATACACTACATACTGATATACACCTGAACATCAGCAGGAGAGGACTCTTTAAAGTAGAGACACTACTGATATACACCTGACCATCAGCAGGAGAGGACTCTTTAAAGTAGAGACACTACATACTGATATACACCTGAACATCAGCAGGAGAGGACTCTTTAAAGTAGAGACACTACATACTGATATACACCTGAACATCAGCAGGAGAGGACTCTTTAAAGTAGAGACACTACATACTGATATACACCTGAACATCAGCAGGAGAGGACTCTTTAAAGTAGAGACACTACATACTGATATACACCTGAACATCAGCAGGAGAGGACTCTTTAAAGTAGAGACACTACATACTGATATACACCTGAACATCAGCAGGAGAGGACTCTTTAAAGTAGAGACACTACATACTGATATACACCTGAACATCAGCAGGAGAGGACTCTTTAAAGTAGAGACATTTAATACTGATATACACCTGAACACCAGCAGGAGAGGACTCTTTAAAGTAGAGACACTACTGATATACACCTGAACATCAGCAGGAGAGGACTCTTTAAAGTAGAGACACTACATACTGATATACACCTGAACATCAGCAGGAGAGGACTCTTTAAAGTAGAGATACTTAATACTGATATACACCTGAACATCAGCAGGAGAGGACTCTTTAAAGTAGAGACACTACATACTGATATACACCTGAACATCAGCAGGAGAGGACTCTTTAAAGTAGAGACACTACATACTGATATACACCTGAACATCAGCAGGAGAGGACTCTTTAAAGTAGAGACACTACATACTGATATACACCTGAACATCAGCAGGAGAGGACTCTTTAAAGTAGAGACACTACATACTGATATACACCTGGACATCAGCAGGAGAGGACTCTTTAAAGTAGAGACACTACATACTGATATACACCTGGACATCAGCAGGAGAGGACTCTTTAAAGTAGAGACACTACATACTGATATACACCTGAACATCAGCAGGAGAGGACTCTTTAAAGTAGAGACACTACATACTGATATACACCTGAACATCAGCAGGAAAGGACTCTTTAAAGTAGAGACACTACATACTGATATACACCTGAACATCAGCAGGAGAGGACTCTTTAAAGTAGAGACACTACATACTGATATACACCTGAACATCAGCAGGATATGTCCTTTTTGTTCTGCTATTGTATTATATATAGACATTTTATTTATTTATCTTGTATTTTATACCTTTCTTATTCTATATTTAGCTTGTTTCATGTTGTATGTGTTTCTATTGCAACATATCTTGTGAAGCACTTTGAATTGCCTTGTGTTGAAATGTGCTCTCCAAACACACTTCCCTCGCCTCACTACAGACTCACCTGTATGTGTTCCTCAGGGCGGTGTATAAGGATGCAGACCTCTACCTGCTGGACGCACCCTTCACACACCTGGACCTGGTGACGGAGAAAGAGATCTTTGAGAAGTGAGTACGATCCCAACAGAGAGGCTTTCATGTGGAGGAGCTTCAAGGTCAAGGTTATCTGTTGTTGTCTCAGACACACTGAAACCCTCTCAGGAAACGGGAGGCGAGCAGAAAGGGAATTATGCTTTGATGATGTGTGGACTTTGGCATCCTTCAGAGGAGGGAAGCATGCAGAGATCATTGCTGGATGAACCTGAACTAATTAGGATAATAAAATAGCTTCCATGGAGAGAATGAATACCAGTAGATAAGCTGAGATGTGCTACTTCCCAAAAGCAAGTATTAAAGATTCAATATTAAAGATTTAAAGGTGTTAGTATGATCAATGCAATAAAACAATGATGCAATTAAAATGCACGATTAAGTAAACTATGAACCTCAAAGATGGAATAAAATAAAACTGCTGTATCATGTTTTGATATATTAACATGTGAACTTCACTTTAGAAAAACAAATACAAAGTTGATACTAAAGTTTGTGGTCAATAAGTCTTTAGAAAATATTAAGGCACACAGTTTTGCAAACACTTTTAAAAAAGGGGCATGGTGCCTACACACACTTTACTTTTACACTTTGTGCTTCAAAAACTAAAACCATACAACAAATAAATAATGAAAACAATACCTAACCCTCTCAATTCCTCAGAGCAATACAATTTGTAATAAAAAGCCTTAATAATCAAAAACATTTAAGCAATGCAAGAACGATACAGGAACATGTTTAACTATGTTCAGATTATAAATACATTCTGTATACTGTACATATATAAAAATACTAAATAAATAAAAAACGAATCCTGAGAATTAAATAAACAAAGGACGGAAACAACAAGAATAAATACATTTGGATTAAAAGCCAAGTGGCTATTCTTTAAAACATTTGACACCTTAATCTTTCTGTTTTTCTTTTTTATAAATGAAAATACGTTAATTTAGGAATCACGGCTGATCTTACTATATATTTGTATTACAGTGTTCTTAATATAGTACGCTATCCGTGTTATATTTTTGATTGTTATGTATTTAATAGAAATATATAATGTATACATTTTTGGCACCACAACACCAAGTAAAATTCCTCGTACGCGTGAACCTGGTAATAAACCCGTTTCTGTCTGTCCTCCACAGATGTGTTTGCACCCGTATGGCCTCCAAGACGCGCATCGTGGTCACCAGCAAGTTGGAGCATTTAAAGCGAGCGGACCGGATCCTCCTGCTGCACAACGGAGACTGCTTCTTCTACGGGACGTTCTCCGAGCTGCAGGCCAAGCGTCCCGACTTCAGCAACCTGCTCCTCGGCATGGAGGCGTACGACAACTGCAACGCGGAGCGACGCAGCTCCATCCTCACGGAAACCCTCCGAAGGGTCTCCGTCGACGAAACCGCCGGCTTCAGAGGACCAGAAACTCTCCGGCAGTCTTTCCGCCAGCAGCAGCCGCCTGTCATTAACGGATCCCAAGGAGGTGACGGGTACCCGGAGAAACGCAAACAATCCCTCATCCTGAATCCTCTGGCCGCCGCTCGCAAGTTCTCCTTCATCGGGAACTCCCAACCAGAGATGGCAAAAGTACACACATCCTTTTCTCAAGTAGAAGTACAGATACTCGTGTTTACTCTGGTAGAAGTAGAAGTACTGACTAAACTTCTTTACTCAAGTAAAAGTAAAGAGGGCTTTGAAATGTACTTCAGTAAAAAGTACCCATAACTAGCAGCTGTTTTAAAGAGTACCTGACCTCCCTTTATATTAATAGAACAATAATGTCATTGTTAGCTAATGAATGTTTCCATGCTGAACAACGGCAACATGACAACGTTTCCATTGGTCCCTCTTCTTTGGAGAAGACCAGGAAATGATGGATACACGGATCGTGTTCAAATCAATAGGCACGCAATGACTCTAAATAATAATGATCACGCACCAAACACACATTCAGACTAAAGGAACCAGCTGTTTGGGAAATGAGAGAAGTAGAAAGTACAAGTATTTGTGTTCAAAATGTAAGAAGTAGAAAGTACAGGTATTTGGGTTCAACATGTAAGAAGTAGAAAGTACAGGTATTTGGGTTCAACATGTAAGAAGTAGAAAGTACAGGTATTTGAGTTCAACATGTAAGAAGTAGAAAGTACAGGTATTTGGGTTCAACATATAAGAAGTAGAAAGTACAGGTATTTGGGTTCAACATGTAAGAAGTAGAAAGTACAGGTATTTGGGTTCAACATGTAAGAAGTAGAAAGTACAGGTATTTGAGTTCAACATGTAAGAAGTAGAAAGTACAGGTATTTGGGTTCAACATATAAGAAGTAGAAAGTACAGGTATTTGTGTTCAACATGTGAGAAGTAGAAAGTACAGGTATTTGGGTTCAACATGTAAGAAGTAGAAAGTACAGGTATTTGAGTTCAACATGTAAGAAGTAGAAAGTACAGGTATTTGTGTTCAACATGTAAGAAGTAGAAAGTACAGGTATTTGGGTTCAACATGTAAGAAGTAGAAAGTACAGGTATTTGAGTTCAACATGTAAGAAGTAGAAAGTACAGGTATTTGTGTTCAACATGTAAGAAGTAGAAAGTACAGGTATTTGTGTTCAACATGTAAGAAGTAGAAAGTACAGGTATTTGAGTTCAACATGTAAGAAGTAAAAGTAAATAGTCGTGGAGTAAAGTACTGATACCAGAACAATGAACTTAAGTACAGTAACAAAGTATTTGTACTCCACTACTTCCCACCTCTGCTCCCAACAGACTGCTAGCACCACCATAGAGGACGGTGTGAGGGAGCTCGCAGAGAGGAAGTTCTCCATGGTTCCCGAGGACGACCAGGTGGAGGAGGTTCTCCCCAGAGGGAACCTGTACCACAACGGGCTGCAGCACCTCAACGGGCAGCGCAGGCAGTCGGTCCTGGCCTTCATCACCAACCCTCAGGGCCACGAGAGGCGCGAGCACATGCAGTCGTCCTTCAGGAAGAAGCCGTCCGTCACGCCGCAGTGCGACCCGGCGCCAGAGCGCGACATCTACGCCCGCCGCCTCTCCAAAGACAGCGTTTACGACATCAGTGACGACGTGGACGAAGAGGACATGGAGGTAGAGATTTGTTACACTACTCATTTTTGATCCAAAGCGAGTTTGAAGAAGTGCAATTAACCTTGAAAAACTTTTGAAAGAACATCCATAACATTCATCTGTTTGCAACTCGTATACATCAATATTCCAATTACTTGTATATAGACTATTCTGCACTGTTTCTATTATATTCAATATTATTTTATTTACCTGTATTATTTTATCTGTGTTATTGTGTTGCACTGTTGGAGGAGTCTGTGACCTAAGATTTTCATTGATCAAATCAAATCAAATCAAGTTTTATTTATATAGCACATTTATAAACGATTTTTGGTGGAGCCAAAGTGCTGTACATATAATAAAAATAGCCTACAGTAGAGACACTTTACAGCAAATACAACAGCACAGATTGTTCAGAATATCAGTATGAGAAAAACGACACCCTCTGTCCTTAGACCCTCTGTCCTTAGACCCTCTGTCCTTAGACCCTCACATCGTTCAAGGAAACACTTCCAGAGAAAACCCACAGTTTAAGGGGAACATGGGAGAAACCTCAGGGAGAGCAACAGAGGAGGGATCCCTCTCCCAGGACGGACAGACGTGCAATAGATGCCGTGTGTAAATCGAAGAGATAATACATTTTACAGCATATAGACCGAATGTTAGGAAATGCATGCGTCTGTAATAAGAAGATGAATCCACGAGGATGTCAGCTACAATCCTGTGGAAGCCATCAGGGAAGCAGCATGGCGAGACCCAAGGCAGGACCGCAGAGACAGGTTCAGCCACGACCCGAAGTCCACGACTTAATCCAGAACTCAGGATAGAGGATCCAAGACACAGGACTACAGCAAGAGGATCAGCCTCGACTCCGGTTCCCGGCGTAGATATAGACACAAAACAAGAACAAATGTGGCTGGGTTAATCGGAACAAGAGAATACACAGACACAGACAGACAGACGGAAGAACAAGCACTCCCTTAGAATAGGTTGAGGGCAAAGGGTAGCAAGTAAGAGAGTAAGAAACATAGGTGGAGAGGCACACTCAGGGAACAAGGTCCCCACTGGAGCCTTAGTTGGAAATTGATGAGAGATAGGGAGGTACGCTGTGTCTACGAATCGTAACACTCCCCGGCCTGTCTAAGCCACTCTACAAACCGTTTCCCTCTAATAAAACTCGAGAGGTTAGAGAGGGAAAAGGTCCTGGGTAAAAGTTATTCTTGATAAGAGAAGCCTAGAAGGCCAGAGAGAAAAAGTAAGTTTTAAGTGTTGATTTAAAAACCCCCAGGGTCTGAGCCGACCTCACATGGAGGGGCAGAGTGTTCCAGAGCCTGGGGCCCGCTGCTGCGAATGCTCGGTGCCCTCGGGTTTTGAGCCTGGTCTTAGGCACTATCAGCAGCAGCTGATCAGCCGACCTTAAGGCTCTGCCTGGGGTGTAGCGATGGAGGAGTTCGGCTACATAGGCCGGAGCCAGCCCATTTAGGGCTTTGAAAACAAATAAAAGGATTTAAAAATCTATTCTGAACCGAACTGGAAGCCAGTGCAATGAGGCCAGAATTGGGGTGTCTGGCCTTAAAGCTTTTTAAACGGAAGGTTTTACCGAAGTGCTTCACAGCCACATAACATTATAATAAAATATAATATTACAATAATAGATAAAAGGCACACATAAGAATAGATAAAAGGCACATAAGGGCTATGGACAGACAAATAAAAGCATACAAATCGATGAAACGGCTCAAACTGACTCGAAAGCGAGGGAAAAGAGGTGGGTCTTCAGGCGACAATTTGACATGGGGGGGGGGGCAGGTCGTTCCAGAGCCTGGGGGCTACCGCTGAGAAGGCTCGGTCTCCCCTGGTCTTTCTCTTTGTTTCAGCAGCAGCTGATCAGCTGACCTCAAAGAAAGTCCCAGGCTCTTTTTAAAGTGTAATTTACAATAATAAAATACGTAAAACAGGTCAAGAAAATAGTGCAAATGGCAAAATGGTGTAAGTAGCATGAGTGGACAGATTTTGATCTTTGTATGTTTTTCATAGATAATGTGAATATCGATCCCTCTCGCCGTAGCAGTCAAAACAATCACAATTAGTCTATATTTACCAAATCGTGAACCCTAAGGCATACACTATCAGTATGAGAAGACACATTTGAATGTTTGGGTTTCCACAACAAAGCTGTCTATTTGCTTGACCCTCAATTTGTCTTCATCTTGTGAAACCCAAAAAAAACGGTCTTGATTTTGTGGCAGAAAAACCGCTTCGTCGGGTTCCCTAGGTAGCTGATAGTATCTGTACGGTGAATGAGTATTTGTGTTTCCTCGCAGCAATGCTTCGCAGATGAGCGTGAGAACATCTTTGAAACTACCTCATGGAGCACTTACCTGCGCTACATCACCACCAACAGGAGCTTAGTCTACGTCCTGTTCTTCATCGTCTTCGTCTTCATCATTGAGGTAAAATACACCCTTTGATCTCATTCATTTTTGTAATTATGTTAACTCGCAATAAATATCTCTTCTTTTCATTTCATTACAGGTTGCTGGTTCAGTCATTGGCATTTTCCTCATTACTGAGTAAGTGTCATGTTTCACCTTAAAGAGACCCCTGTCTGTATTTCCAGTATTATCGTTTCATGTTTTGTTTTTCGTGACAGAAGTACGTTTTAATTTACATTTTGAAGATGTTTGAGAAAGACATTTTCATAATTTTTTTAAATAGTTCTATATAATTGCTATTGCAGAACATTGAAAACGTTTTTTTTTTAATGTTCCCGTTCTATATCTCAAATGTCTGGTCGGGGACTTGAACCGGCAACCCTACGGCTCCCAGTCCAAGCCCCTACAGTCACTAGGTTCAAGTCCCCGACCAGACATTTGATATTTGTGATATAGAACGGGAACTTTAATATGGAGTGTGGACTGCTACTTGGAGAGGTCCCAGTTCACCTCCTGTCCTGCCGTGGTGCCCTTGAGCAAGGCACCGGACACCCCCCTCACTCCCATTGCTCCCCGGGCGCTGTACAATAGCTGCCCACTGCTCCTAGTACTAGACTCCTGGTACTAGGATGGGTTAAAAGCAGAGAACACATGCCACTGTGTGCTCTGCATGTGTGACCATTACAGAGGGTTTCCTCCCTCCTAATTCTTCTTCTACAGATGCTGCATGTGTCCTAAACGCTTAAACCTCTGACACATATTAAAATACTTTTCTTGTTAGTCTTGCCAAATTGTGAAAGCACTATGAGCTGCATCCTCTGTATGAGAAGTGCTGCTTTTTCAGGCTAAAATACACTTTTTATTTATTATTGTCTTTATTTAAAAATAATTATGTTTTACAATTATTTCCATTATTTGTAATGTTATTCATTGTTTCCTATTTCCCTATTATTTTACTGTCTATTTTTTAAACTTTTGTATTATATTACTGAACTTTTTTCTCTTGCTTTTTTACCATTATTAATATTTATAATCCTTGTGCACCACAGTGAGATCTGGAGGGACAGCACTAACCCTTCGTCTCCGAACTACATCGACGAGCAGCCGCAGAACGCCTCGTCGCCGGCCACCCACCTGGCTGTTATCGTCACGCCGACCAGCGCGTATTACATCATCTACATCTACGTGGCGACGTCGGAGAGCGTGCTGGCGTTGGGTTTCTTCAGAGGACTTCCTTTGGTGCACACGTTACTCACCGTGTCCAAAAGACTCCACGAGCAGATGCTGAGCGCCGTGCTGCGCGCCCCCATGGGCGTGCTCAACACCATGAAGACAGGTCAGGGCTTTTAATTTGGGGATTTATGTACAGTAGGTTATATTCATTCAATTTAACACAAAACAACAACAACAGCGGCAGACAACATTTACATGACATCATTCTAAAATGTATAATTAAATACAGGAGACATCAACTAACAGGATATTATGTTTGGATAGATTAGATATACTTTAATTCATCCCAATTTGTTAGCTTTTTTGTTGCAGCAGAAGATAAACAAGGCATTGCAGCTGAATTAGAAATTAAATAACATAGAAAATAAACAGTGAATATATACTCAAAGGTCACCTACCATGCTATCTGTAGGTAATAGCATAGGTCTCAGATATATATAAATATATAGAAAACACGTCTATGAAGTGTTTTGCTCAAAATACCAAACAGATCATTCTAGCCATGCCTCATATCCCTCTATTTCACTTCCTGTTTCAAAAGTGCTGATTTGGGGATAAAGCTTTAAAAAAAATGAAAATTGATAATAAAAATTAAAAAGAAGGGGTCTGAGCTCATGCGGGACCCGGCAGCTACCGTCTAAACTAAATGCTGCCGTGATGAAACGCCATATCATGGATTATCAAGGATTCTCTCTGAAACAGTCTGGAGCTCAAAGGCTTTCTCTCTTGCCGGTTATACCACAAGGTGAGTTCCTTTTTACTTCCTGCTTCTTCACACACATGCTCTCCAGTACAGGTTAGCTCTGAGTGTTAGCGATGCTAATGTAAACACCGACCATATTACGTCCAAAACAGTCGGGCATTGTTTCTGATAGCAACGTTTCTGATTGGGCCGTGGGTCCACATTTCAGATATTACGTCATATCGGACGCAAATCTGGATCAGCTCCGTTGTTCCCCGTTTTTAGAGATTTGGGTACGGAGGAAAAGAGAGAGGGTTTTATTTTCTGACGCTGCGTGAGTTCCCCGACACACCGGGGACACATAGTTATGTATATAAGACATCAACAAGTGCATATTGCACGATAGGTCTCATTTAAATTCAAGTGAATACAGTCAATACAAATACATGCACACAATGATAATAATAGCAATAATACAAAATAAGAATACAAAATAATATATATATTAATAGATAAATGCACCCTAAAAAAACACATGTTTACTTTTACTCATGTTTCAATGCTTCAGACATGTAGGGCTTTCTGTTTGTTCTGAACAGTGTGTATTCATCTGTTTGTGTTAACCACGTCTATTTGGCTTTATAAAATACCATACCAATGTTGTCTATATTTACTATAAGGATTCTCTAAATGTTTTCGATGTGTTTTGTCCTCGTGCAGGCCGGATCATGAACAGATTCACAAAGGACATGGCCACCATCGACGACATGCTGCCTCTGGTGCTGTTTGACCTCATTCAGGTATTTAAACAATGTAATGGATGACATCATCAGGGGGTCCGCGGGGTCTTAAAAAGTATTAACAGTTGATAAATCAATTTAGCGAAAATGAAGGCTATTAAAAAGTATTAAACGGCATTTTCCAAGGTGTTACATTGTGTAGCTTGTTTTCAATAAGTATATAAATGGTCCAAAGAGGTTGTATTCTACAGTCTGCCTGAATGTAATCATTGCGTAGGTGTGTAGTGTGATTCTGTGTAGTTTATTTATGGCATCCCGTTGGGTTTGACGTCATCTGAACAGGACATCGCACGCTCACTGCTTGATAGCGCGAAGGTCCGATTACGCCGGTTGCTAAGCAACATCGTTATGGGGAAATGCAAGTCTGCGTCCAAATGGTTGGAAGATAAGGAGGAAGGACAATCAATACTGTATATAGTCAATGTGAGGTAAAGTGTGTCGCCAAGGTAACCGGTTAGAACTCCAAGTGGCGATGAGGTCTTAAAATGTATGGGAAGGGTCTTAAAAGGTCTTACATTTGACTTCAGGATTCCTGCATATACCCTGATAATGCAACATGGTATTTAGCCTAAGTTGGGATCAGTCTATCTTTACACATCCTAAATTCAAAAAAGGTTTTAGAGAAATAAAACGTAGAAGGCTCACTCAACTGTAAACAAGCTCTAGATGACATGCTCACAGTCAACTCAAAAACTCCAAAATGTATACAGAAAAAGTAAGTACTGGAATGTTGATAGGAATTCCTGGGAGCCTATATGAGAAGCCTTTGCAGAGCGGGTGGCTTCAGGCGGATCATTTCATTGATTAAACATAAGTAGGTATTTTCTTTGATTAGGACCGACTTGTTGTTTCAGCTCACATTGATCGTAACGGGAGCCATCTTCACCGTGTCCATCATACGGCCGTACATCTTCCTCGCTGCCATCCCATTGGCCGTCATCTTCGTCATGCTCAGAAAATACTTCTTAAGAACCGGGCAGCAACTCAAGCTGCTGGAGGCTGAAGGTGAGAGAGGGGGGGGGGGGGGGGGGGGGGGGATTATATGTGTGTGATGGGCATTGTGCTATTACATGACAGGATGGGTTCAACTACTCCTTTGTGTCACTTTGAAGAGAATTTACCACCAGAAAGGACTACAAAAATGGCTGACCTTGTCATATAAAAATGTAAATCCCATGTAAATATTGCTAAAAATACTGCGTTTTCCTTAAATGTCGAATGTGATAATGGGAATTTTCCCCTGTTACCTTAAACTGTTTTACAAATGCATTAACATGTAACAAAAACACTACAAGGGTTTAAAAAGTATTGGTACTAGCTACAAGTAGTGCTACAGAACATATTTCCTCCATAAATACCACAATTACAATGCTTTCCTGTGATGCTATTTCAAATCTAAAACCCCAATTAACCCCTGAAGATAAATCAGGTGTTATATATTGATAAAAGTGAAAGAAGAAATCGGAGATGAAATGGCCAACGTTCAGGAAAAGTGAAAACATGACAAAACTAAAACAGAGGAAAAGTTATGAGTCATCATAACTGAGGCATGGCTGGAGCAAAGGGGTCAAAGGTCACACTGTGGAGAACAAAAACATGACACAGGACGTGATGCCTATATTAATAACAAAGGGCTGTGTCCTCCCTTGTGTAGCACGTAGGCCTTTTTTGAATATTTATTTTAATTGTTTTTGCTTGTTTCAATTCCTCGTGGCGTCATGGGAGAACTCCTCACATTATTTGAAAGTTCAGAAATCCACAACCAGAGGACGGGAAGAGGTCGCCGCACTGCTGTGTTTGTGTTTTTTGGACTTCCTTGCTCCTCTCACTTCAATATGCTTTTCGTGAATAGCGGCGAGGCGTTTCCCGGAGCGCTCAGAGCACGTTGGGGTCGGAGAGAGATGATCCGCGCTGGGATTTCCTCCGACCCCATCCTGCTGCTGCATGTCGGACAAAACGCAGTGGAAATGATGTGTGTTAGTCACTCAAATGTTCTTCACTCCTTCAGCAGTGTTGATTTACTCGTATCACTAAAAGATACCCCACATGCAGCCCTCAAACTGAAGCAGAGTGAACGTAGCTGCACCACAGACTGAAGCAGGAAATACACACCATAAAACAAGTACAAGTAAAAACAATAGACAATTTAAAAGCAATAGAGAAGAGGTGGGTTTGAAGAAGCGATTTAAAAGCAGGCAGTGTGGCGGCCTGTCTGATGTGCAGGGGCAGATCGTTCCACAGTGTGGGAGCCGCTACAGAGAAGCAACGGCCCCCTCTGAGCTTTGACTTGGTTCTGGGCGCATTCAGGAGCAGTTGATCCGCTGACCTGAGAGGGCGGGTGGGCGTGTAGGGGTTGTAGCCGCTCAGAACGATATGGTGGGGTCATGCCATTTAGGGATTTCTGCTTTGGACAGATTTTTAGCAGCCTATCAATCACAACCATTTATCTGCAATGGCTGCATTTGACTGTACAGTTGAGCACTATTGAAGCTTTTTAAAAACAACCAAGATGGCTGCGGCCGATGTGGGGCTGCTGAAACAGCTATGACGTTAGTATTGAATTAGTTGGATGGTATATGGTAAGGAAATAATGTAGAATAGAATAGAGCATAATCCTTTATTGTCATTATGCAGTTACAATGAGATGAGTAGAGCTACTCCTTTTTTAAGATGCCATCAAAAATAAAAATAAAACAAACAAGAGACGTAAAACATTCAGGAGAAGACAACATACAAACAACAAGCATTCATACTTCAATATGTATCATTAATCAACACATTTTCAATCGCTCCTTCATAACGATGTTGTACTTTTAATTTGTTTACTTGGATTGCCCTCTATTCTTCCTGGGGTACACTTAGGGTGTTTCTCAATGTCGAGGACGCTTCCTTGGTAGGGCATGTCTCCCGAGTCACTTCCTTCAGAAGCTAGGCAAGAGTCCATCCTGGCATTCGGAAAAACAAAGAATGGAACAGGCTAGCAAGTGTTACTTACATTTTCCGCCACAGATTTTGGGAAATTGGTCCGTGCGCAAAGCATTGTGGGGATTTTAAGACCACGGAGGATACACATGTGCAGCCTCGAAATGTTTCGCTACGAAGGACGCCGGGCTCGGTAGAATTCCAAGGAGTCTGGACATTGGAACAGTCCTTCGGCGGCACTCGATGACGTAGCATCCTTGAAATAGTGGCTCTGGAGCAGCCTTCCTTGACATTGAGAAACACCCTTATAAACAATACAAATAAAACAATGTTAAAGAAGAAAAGACAAATCAAACAAAACACAAGGTGATATTTGTATGTGGTATTTATTCTACACAGGTTGTGCTATTTGCAGTACTTTTGTGGTCAATGGTTGAAGGGCTAGTTATTGTACAGATCTTATGAGCTACTTAGAAGATTAACATTGTGTTTGTGGGGCCAGTGAGCGATAAGACAAGCGGTTTGATTGGCTAGAACTTGTACTGGCATATGATTTGATCGGCTGACGCTTCCGTCGAAGCTTCAAAAGTTGAACATTGCTCAACTTTTGAAGCGAGCAAAGCTAAGCGACGGAACCGCAATGCAGTTCGGCAAAGCGTGACGTCACCCCGTTCAAAGTGAATGGGCAGAAGCATTGAAGCTTCAACGCACGCCGCCGTGTGGACGGGCCGTAAATCGCCAGAACGCCAACACCTCCTCATCACTCCACCGCTCCCATGTTTTCTTTTGTGTTGCCATAGGTTATTCCGTTAGTGCGCGGGGCTAATGCTAATGCTAAAAATGCTAATGCCAGCAAATACAATGGCGGCTTCACAAACGGGGCGTGGTTTGCAATTCGCCCAGCCAATCAGAAATTGGTACTTTTTTCTCCGCAGGAAAGTACCACCTCTCTAGGAGGGACTGAAAGGGGGGGAAAAGTTCTCATGAACCAAGTTCTCTTTTTGGTGTGAACGCAAAATCCCAGGAACTATCGGAATTAAAGGGGAAAAGTACTCCGGTGTGAAAGCGCCTAATGTTAAACAAAAAATTATGGTGGCCTACAATGGAAACACTCCTCTGTTTTCTCCCTTTGATTCCTCAAATCTCCAGGATTAACAAAGCAACATTTGTAATTTGTTGGATCTACTGCCCCTTTTTTCATCCAGCTCTGATTAGCTTTCAGTAGCAGCAGAAGATTCCTGTTTCACTTTTACATATCTCGTGTTTAATCAGAGCCATATACGCTCACTTGTCTTTTCTCTCTACACTTGATAAAAAACAAAAACATTGTAAAATATTCTCTCGATGACCCTAAACAATAAAGTCAGACTGAAGCATCCTTTGTGCTCCAGTCAATCCTCTCAGTAGACACAGAGCTGAATCCAGATCACGCTGACGGCTCTTTGAGCAGGTTTTCTCTCACTGATCCTGTGGTTATGTTCAATGTTTGTGTTTCATGTATTGTGTCCTGATAGTTGTCTGTTGATGTTACACATGGAGCTGCTGTGATGCGAGTCACATTTCAGGCTCGATCTGACCATTAAAGTAATATTGTATCGTATAAGTATTCCCTCTTGCTCTCCTTCAGCTCGCAGCCCGATCTTCTCCCACCTCATCATCTCTCTGAAAGGGCTGTGGACGATCCGAGCGTTCGGGCGTCAGACGTACTTCGAGACGCTCTTCCACAAAGCGCTGAACACTCACACGGCCGCCTGGTTCCACTACCTGTCCACGTTGCGCTGGTTCCTCTTCCGCTGCGAAATGATCTTCGTCCTCTTCTTCACCGCCGCCGCCTTCATCGCCGTGGGAACCAACAGTGAGTGAAAGGAGGGGAAACAGATATGGGTTGCACGGTTACATTCAGCGTTTTTATGAGATAATCAGACTTTTCTCAGCATGACATTGGATTCAATAAGCTTACCTTTGAATAGTAACTTATATTTCTTGACTTGGTTTATCCGTACGTATGTACTTTAGTCAAAATGTGTTTCTTTACAGGCAGTATACGTGACGAACAAACAAAGAAAAATGCCTTATTTTAGCCTTTAAATCCAAAAACAGGGTGTTTTTTATGGCTTTTTTTACATAAATGAAGTTATAAAATAGTTTAAAAATAGTAAATAAATATACATTAATATATATATATTCATGAATGAGTAGTATTTTGGGTGAATACTGACCGATAAGGCAAGTAGAAAAACATGGATTTATTCTGCAAATTGACTAAAACGTCTGTAAATGAGGGTAATGTCATTTTGGCGGTGAAGCCTTTTAAGGAATCAAGCAGCAGTTTGTAGGGGCCATGTTGAATTTCCAGTACGTTAGCGAGTCAGTAAACACCTTATTATTTCCTCTGAGTGTATCGAGTGGAGAAGAGTCTTATCTGTGTGTTACAGTGTGTGTGGCGTCAGATTTCAGGATCATAACACACAGGCCTTCAATGAAAACTGATCAAAAGAGTTGGAACGCCACCGGATAAAATGTCATGTAGGAAAGGAAGCACACACACACACACACACACACACACACACACACACACACACACACACACACACACACACACACACACACACACACACACACACACACACATATATATAAACATGTGTTGTTGCGTCACAGCCTGTGTTTATGTAAGGAGCAGATTAAAGGGTCATTTCACAGCTCATTATTTCCAATAGAGCGAGTCGCAGAGCTTCTTACCTGACTGCTGCTGTGACATCAGAGAGCAGCTGTGATTGGACAATATTGTTGAGTGTGTGTGTGTGTGTTTGTGTTTCTCAGAGGACAAACCAGGGGAGGTTGGCATCATCGTGGCCCTCGCTATGCTCATCCTGGGGACTTTCCAATGGGCTGTCATCACCAGCATCACTGTGGATGGACTGGTATGTGGTTAACACAAAGATTATTCAAAAACATTTGAAAACTGCTTTACATTAAAGGTGAACAACATTGTACTATTGACGTACTAATAGTGTAGTATATAAATAATGTTGAATATGATGAAATACATTATTAAATGAGAACAAATATTAGTCATAGTATGTTTAAAAGCGACAAAACTAAATGTACTAAAACTAATTTAAAGACACACACACACACACACACACACACACACACACACACACACACACACACACACACACACACACACACACACACAGGACACAGCTGTCATCATTTACATCATAGGAAGACACTGCTGTTCTTATGTTCTTAAAATACCGTACATTCAATGGCCAGGCAAGATTGTGTTAAGCGTTATACACACACACACCACACACACACACACACACACACACACACACACACACACACACACACACACACACACACACACACACACACACACACATACACACACACACACACACACACACACACACACACACCACACACACACACACACACACACACACACACACACACACACACACATACCATGTATACATCACTTCAGGGGACATTACATTGACTTACATGCATTTCCTGGAGACTTATCCTAACCTTAACCATAACCAACACATGCCTAACCCTAACCCTAATCCTAACCAAGTCTTCACCCTAAAATTAATGATTCCCCTCATGGGGACCTCCATTTTGTCTCCATGAGGGAAGCCAGTCCCCACACGTGACTGTGTAAACAGATTTAGGTCCCCACAAGTATAGTAATGCTAGGACACACACACACACACACACACACACACACACACACACACACACACACACACACACACACTGATGACAATGTAAATCCAATGTTTAAAAGGGTTTATTAAGATATAAAGGTGGAGAAATGTAATAACAAAAGACCACTTCATCGCAAATATATTTTCTGCTCCAAACGGCAACAGCTGTGTTTTTTAAATGTTGTTGCAATGAGGTCCATTTGAGTACACTATGTACACATTGTTCAGGGTTATTCAAGAGGGGCGATAGAGTGAAACCTGGGACATAAGATAAGAACAATTGCACATTTACAAGAAAAATTAAGGAAATGTTTTGGATATTTAAAAAAGATAACAGTCATTTCAATATCTTTGAGAATATACATTAGTGCAAGACTTTTGTATTCTTGATGTAAAGCACTTTGAATTGCCTCAGTGTCTGAAAATATGCTATATAAATAAACGTTACCTTACCTCTCAGATGCGTTCTGTGGACCGGGTGTTCAGGTTCATCGACCTGCCGCCAGAGGAGCCCATGCCGGGGAAGTCTGGAGGTAAAGGAGGCCCCGACCTGGTCATCGATAACCCTCACGCTCAGGACTGCTGGCCCAACCGCGGACAGATGGACGTCCAGGGCCTGACGGTGAAATACACGGAGGCCGGGCGCTCGGTCCTCAGCGACATCTCCTTCTCTGTGGAGGGGGGGCAGAGCGTGAGTCCTGAGGGGGTTTTATTCATTATACTCACAACCAGTTACAGAGCTGAATGGTGTACATTTTATAAGAGCTGAAGTCAATTTAATCGGAATCAAGTTTGTTACCAGGTACATGCAAGGAGTTTGCTTTTGAGTCTGGTGGTGCAAACATAAACAATCTAAGAAAACATTTTGTAGGAGTAGGTCAAAAATAAGTATTTTTAAGAAGGCAAGTATTTACACCAAATTAAAATAAACTAAATACCTAAATAACTGCTAGAATCCACTTCAAGACAATGGTACTTGCGTACCATGCTGCGAATGGATCTGGCCCTTCCTACATCCAGGACATGGTTAAACCGTACACCCCAGCGCGTGCACTACGCTCTGCATCAGCCAAACGACTCGCTGCGCCCTCGCTGCGAGGGGGACCCAAGTTCCCATCAGCAAAAACATGTGGGTTTGCTATCCTGGCTCCAGGATGGTGGAATGAGCTCCCCATTGACATCAGGACAGCAGATAGCTTACACACCTTCCGGCGCAGACTGAAAACTCATCTCTTTCGACTCCACTTCGAGCGATAGAACTATTAACAAAGCACTTATATACTAATAAAGGGCTGGCTTATCTATAGCCAGTTGAGAAGCACTTGAAATGTTTTGGCTCTATGAAACCTGATGTACTTTATGATTCTGTTTTCTTCAAGTTTGTATTTTGTTGGTCGAACGCACTTATTGTAAGTCGCTTTGGATAAAAGCGTCAGCTAAATGCAATGTAATGTAAAAAACAAAAAAAGGAGAATGAATATATGACAGTACAGTGCATTATATTTTAAAGTGGAGGGCTGTGCAGAAATGTGCAAAATACTGTATATTTAGTGAGCAAGAAGGGTGAGTATGTGATCGATACAGTTGGTGGGTAGAGATCAGTACAGTGTTTTAGGTTTTGAATAAAAAAACAAGGCGCTAGTTTACATATCGTGTGAAATGGGGCCACTGATAAGCCGTCTAAAGCTTTACAATAGGGGCCAAGACGCTAAACAGAAAGTATTTACATTACGAACACGTATAGAATTGGAGGGAGTTCATTTATTATATAACTATTTGTACAAGCTAGAAAACACCGAACACTAACCTACAGACTAATCTAATCCTAATTAGAGTACTAAATGTTCCTTTGTCTTTTATTAAATACCTTTTCTATTCGTATCAAAATCAGAATCAACCCCTCTGTCTCCCATCTTTTGGCACTGTTATAAAAGTAGAAAGACTTGGGAGAACATTGAAAAATGTATTCATCTGTGAGCTGTTTTTTTGGGGGGGGTAATACTGTACCCAACGTCATCTAACAGCACAACAACACTAAAGACCGTGGTGAGGCTGAAACAGTAAAGTTCTAATGAGAAAACCATGAGCTCAAAGTGTCTGAACCCCTCATGAGAGTTAGAGAGAACTGCAGACGTGATAATCCAACCGAGTCTCACGGCATTTCGTGTAATAGTCACAAAATGAATCCAATCTATTGACACGATTTTCCCATTTTTTTCGTGTCACACAGAACGATTTTAAAAGCAATGTATTTCTATTGGTAGTATTTTTCGTGCCTGCACCACTCCTTTTTGTCCGTTCGGGTCTTGGAAGACCGGAAGCTGTGTGGTTCATAAAAACATATTCTTACTCAATAACAAGCCACGATTGTTGTTTTTATTTTAAATCGTATAATGTCTGACTTTTTTTGTCGTCTGTGAGGAAAATAAATGGGGCTCAGAGTCTCAGAATACTGAAATCTGTATTTTTAAAATATTTTTTTACTTCTAATTTGTTATTATTTACATTGCTTTTAAAATGGTTCTGTGTGACACGAAAAAAATGGGGAAATGGTGTTGGTGAACACGAATCAATAGATTCATGTCGTGACTATAACACGAAATGCCGTGAGACTGTGTTGGATAATCATTATCTGAGTTTGACCCCTTTCACATCTATTGATCCAGAGTAGATAGAACATATTGATGAAAGCAGCATTATAACAATCGGGCAGAACATACATCACTCTCTATGTCTAGTATGTCCCCTTGATTTAACCTTTCTCTGACCCTTTAACTGCCTCAGACTGGTCAGTGTTTTAAAATCCAATAAGGCTTCAGGCATCTGTCTGCTGGCTTTCATTCATATCCCGTCACACATCCTTATGTATTTCCCCTTCATACAGAAAGGTATACGTTTCTAAACACCTCTTTTATACCTGCACAGCTCTGACACTTTATATACTGCACATTTAATTCTAGCAAAGCAAGCTAGCAAGTCTATCGAATTAGCTTAGCGCGTTAGCTTAGCGCGTTAGCTTAGCGCTTAGCGTTGCTAGTGCTGAACAAGCTAAACAAAAATGTAAGCAGCATATACAACATACTATTAATATTCCTTACATTACATACATAATGTGACGCTGTAAATAAGAGAAATTAATGTTATAACAGAAGCTTTACAACTTAAATCCTCAGTGTACCAGGCTACTTCATTTCAGCATCAGGAGAAACATAGCCACCATTCTCAATTAGTTCAGACCTCAGACTCAGAGAGATGGATGACTTTTATTTTTGTACCATTCTTATCCTGTGTGTGCTGTGACTTTAAATTAGGCTTTTTAATGAACTGAACATCTAAAAATTTGTGATTTATTTCCAGTAGTTTCATTATTTTCTGTTGTGTGTTGATTAAAATAGATTAAGTAGATTACGATAGATAGATAGATAGATGGATAGACAGACAGACAGATGGATAGATAGGTAGATTAAGCGTTTTGAGCACCAGGAAAAGTGCTGTATAAATAACGTGTATTATTATTATTATTAGATTGGTCTGCTGGGTCGGACGGGTTCAGGTAAAAGCACGCTTCTCTCCGCTCTGCTGCGCCTCGCCTCCACTGACGGAGAGATCTCCATCGACGGCGTCTCCTGGAGCTCCGTCTCCCTGCACACCTGGAGGAAGGCCTTTGGGGTCGTGCCGCAGGTAAAACTGACTCTCAACAACACACTGCATAAGAAAGGTTGCTTGTTTCAATTCAAATATTGGCAGGAAAATCTTGAAAGGTGAATGAGACATACATTTCAACAGATTTCGATAAAGAGGTGCAGCCAGGAAACCACAAAAAATGATTTAAAATGGGTTATTGTTAAGAATTCACCATTTAGAGTTGAACGAATTGTCATCTAAAGAGTTTTTACACCACAAATGTTCTTTTAGTTAAGTCTACATTATTGTGGATAAGACTCACCAATTTTGGGCAAAATGTGGTGCATTTCAAGGTCAAGACCTTTTCCGTTTTGTCAAAAATAAGTAAAATAAATTTGACTTAAAAAACAAACTTTACTGAGGTACAGAAACAAGTCCTGAAAGCCAATACTTGCTTTCATATTCATGGGTATTTTTTTAAAATGTGAATTATTTTGCCTTTGACCAACATACTGAACCACTACTCTTGAGTATATACGTATACAGTATATGTATAAATACTACATCATTTTTTATATTTCTGACTGATTAATTATATGTCGCTGGAACACACTTCAAAATCTCAATGCATGAAAATCCATTATTGCCATTGTGTCAAAAATGCTAAAAACAGTGTCAATGCAACCTGCCATATCCTCTGTGTGTTTTAAACAGAGAGTGTTTATCCTGACCGGCACTTTCCGGATATCTGGACCCTCACGGCCAGAGATGAGAGGAGGTGGAGCGTAGGAGGAGGGGGAGTGAATATCTCCGACTAATCTCCTCCTTCCTCCTCCTCAGCCTACTCCTCCTCCTTCTCCTCATCCCTCCTCCTCTCCTCCTCCTCCTCCTCCTCCTCTCCTCATTTCTTCTGCTGTGTTTTAGAAATGATTGCGATGATGTGTAAACCAGCTTAGTCAGACCGGTTTACATTTCATCAATGAATTAGAGATACAGAACCTTTGGGAGTTTTTTTGGGGGGATAGTTCAGCTTCCTTGACATTTCTTCTTACAACCCTAAAATACAGTCTTAACAAATATAATATTAAACGAAATATGAATTACTAACTATTAATAGTTGGCTATCAGGTTATCATTGAAAACCAATTTCTTTAGGTGCTATTTTTAAACGAGAAAATTATTTACACTTACACTACTTTTGATATCTTTACCGATATAATCAGGGGTGCACATAACAGGTAAGCATGCCCGGCAAAAATCTGAAATGCATACCGTCACTTGTGTCACAAAGCGCATTTGCGTACCGACGTACTTGTGAAGCTTTTCCAGAAGGCGGTTAGATCACCGGACGACAGAGTCGGTCTCTGTGTGCACAGACAGGGCTGCTGTTAACGTCGGTCTGTACCCCTTCTGTGCCCTGCGCACACTGAAGACCTTCCCAAAAACAGCTGATCACAACGTTCACGCTCTGTGGCCACGAAGTACTCCACTCCAAGTACAACATATAGACATAACTTCAGCTTCGTATAGCATTAAGAACAAGATGTTATAATAACCAGTAGATTCAGTTTTCACTGTGTATCTCATCCAAAACAACCCCATAAATGTCCTGCAGTGTCCTCTGACCTCGTGGTTCAGTCGTAAACACAATCCTTTGTCCTCCATGGTCGTAGTATATCTCTCTAAATGAAACGGTGTCCTCTGTGAGTGCAGGTGGGTCTGAAGTCAGTGGTGGAGCAGTTTCCAGATAAGCTGGACTTCGTGCTGGAGGACGGGGGGTACGTGCTGAGTAACGGACACAAACAGCTGCTGTGCCTCGCCCGCTCCATCCTGAGCAAGGCCCGCATCCTGCTGCTGGACGAGCCCTCCTCCTACCTGGACCCAATGTACGTACCCCAGTGTGTGTGTGTGTGTGTGTGTGTGTGTGTGTGTGTGTGTGTGTGTGTGTGTGTGTGTGTGTGTGTCATTTAATTGAACACACACATGCTTCCTTTCCTACATGACATTTTATCCGGTGGCGTTCCAACTATTTTGATCAGTGGTGTGTGTGTGTGTGTGTGTGTGTGTGTGTGTGTCACTACTGTAATGTTGTGCATCCTTTAGTTGGATGTAGTTTCCGAACTTTAAAAAAAAGATATATATATATTTTTACATACAAGTACATTTTGGGATTCTTATACTTTGATTTACAATATTACTGTATATCACATTTCACGGGACACTATTACTGTTTTTACGTCTCTATTTTTATTGTATTTGTATAATTTATACGTTATTAGTTAGTTTTAGTATTTCATTAGTTTGCATGTGGGCAGCAGGAGGCACTTTTCTTGCAAACACAAAGCCTCTAAACACAGCTGATACCTTAAAGTGATCAAGGCTTCGTGCGTATTTCCTGAGTGTGTGTTTGTGGCAGCAGAAGTCACCCAAATCCAACATGTGAGTCGCTGCATATGGTGTCAATCTTACAGTAAATCTGAAGTGTGTGTGTGTGTGTGTGTGTGTGTGTGTGTGTGTGTGGTGGGGGCTTCATTATGGTAAATGAAGCACATAATAAGCAATGTAGTTTAACCTGAGGCTAACACGGCCTGCACTTTCATGTTGACCTCAACGCTATGAAACGCTAATGTATGTTAGCAGTAAAGACAGACAGACAGACTTTGATGGTGGTGTGTGTGTGTGTGTGTGTGTGTGTGTGTGTGTGTCTGTGCAGAACGTTACAGGTGCTGAGGAAGACGCTGAAGCACTCGTTCTCCGGCTGCACCGTCATCCTGTCCGAACACAGAGTGGAGCCGCTGCTCGAGTGTCAAACATTCCTGGTGAGTTTTTGAATAAATGTCAGATTTTCTGCACATTTTTTACTTTTTCTATCAAAATAAGTCTCATGTTGCAACCACTCATTTTAAGATAAACATGGATTTATTTCACAAAGACATAATATTAATCCTGGGACCCTCTTTTAAATTACCTTTTGGGAAAACATTTCAAACTTTGAAGGCCTTTTTTTGTCTAAGCTGTGTCTGTGTAACAGTCATCGTAATTTAATGGAAAATGTACATAACATTTCAATAATTAACACACACACACAGACACACACACACACACACCACCATGTATACATCACTTCAGGGGACATTACATTGACTTTGATGCACTTCCTGGAGACTTATCCTAACCTTAACCATAACCAACACATGCCTAACCCTAACCCTAAACCTTATCCTAACCAAGTCTTCACCCTAAAATGAATGACTCCCCTTATGGGGACCTCCATTTTGTCCCCATAAGGGAAGCCAGTCCCCACACGTGACTGTGTAAACAGATTTAGGTCCCCACAAGTATAGTAATGCTATGACACACACACACACACACACACACACACACACACACACACACACACACACACACACACACACTGTGGTTGTAGAGTGGACATATTGTAACATTCCGACAAAGGGAAAGTCATTGGTAACATTAAGTAAATATTGAATGTATCATTGTATGTCAAAATGTACAATGAAAGATAAGATAACAAAAATAGAAAACAAATATTTATATAAACATTTTAAGGAAAATTGTGCAATAAAAGATCAAATAAAAAATGAAAGATATATAACATACAAATTGTATAAGTAAAATACAATCAAAAGTCAACTTTATGTCAATCTGTCAGTTTGTGTGCACAGACAGAGAGATCAAAATACCGTTTCCCACAATCCTGACTACAAAAATACAAATATGTATAAAATATGTATATTCTTATATATACGCAACCAACAGACACATTTATACATGTGCACACATTAAGATAAAATAAACACAACAATCAATATAACACAATAACAGTCACTTCAATATCTTTGGGAAATGTACATTAGTGCAAGGTTTTCCATAGCAGCGTAAAAAGTGTCTGGTCCTGGAATAAAAGGTTAAATAAAAAAATGCAATGACTATATTTAACATAGATGGAAAGAACAGTTCTAGATAAACTCATAACAACCTCTCCCCCCTGTCCCTGCAGATGATCGAGGGCTCCTCCATGAAGCGCTACGACTCCATCCAGAAGCTTCTGAACGAGACGAGCCACCTGAAGCAGGCGATGAGCGCGGCCGACCGCCTGCGCCTCTTCCCCACGCTGCACCGCCTCAACTCCAGCAAGAGGGCGGCGCCGCAGCCCATCTGCTCCCTGAAGGAGGAGGCCGAGGACGAGGTGCAGGACACACGCCTCTGACAGGCTCACACACACACACACACACACACACACACACACGCACGCACACGCACACACACATACTCCAGGACACACGCCTCTAACACACACACACACACACTCCAGGACACCCGCCTCTAACATCCAGGCTCACACACACACACACACACACACACACACACACACACACACATACACACACACTCCAGGACACCCGCCTCTAACATCCAGGCTCACACACACACACACACACACACACACACACACACACACACACACTCACTCCAGGACACCCACCTCTAACATCCAGGCTCACACACACACACACACACACACACACACACACATACTCCAGGACACACGCCTCTAACACACACACACACACTCCAGGACACCCACCTCTAACATCCAGGCTCACACACACACACACACACACACACACACACACACACTCCAGGACACCCGCCTCTAACATCCAGGCTCACACACACACACACACACACACACACACACCCACACTCACTCACTCCAGGACACCCACCTCTAACATCCAGGCTCACACACACACACACACACACACACACACACACACACACACACACACACACACACACACACACACTGACGGACAAAACAAATAGGGCTTCGTCCAGTGTTTTATTAAAAAGAAAAACTTTTTTGGCCATAATTCCCACAAAACTACTCGTCCTCAGAGATGACAAAAGTACACACATCCTTTACTCAAGTAGAAGTACAGATACTCGTGTTTAAAAATACTCTGGTAAAAGTAGAAGTACTGACTAAACTTCTTTCCTCAAGTCAAAGTAAAGAGGGCTTTGAAATGTACTTCAGTAAAAAGTACCCATAGCTAGCAGCTGTTTTAAAGAAAGTGGTCAGAAAAAGAAGTCGTGGAGTAAAGTACTGATACCAGGAAAATGTACTGAAGTACAGTGACGAAGTATTTGTACTCCACTACTTCCCACCTCTGTCCAAAAGCAGCAGTCAAACAGCAGCTCGGAAACTAAAACTGTCCCTGAAATGGATTTGATTTAAAAGTAGAGCTCTGCAAGATATCATGGATTAATCAAACGGACACAAATATTGATTTAATGTGTTTTGCACACACACCATTAAGAGTTATGCGTCTGTAACACTTTGAATGTCCTGATGTCATACTGGGCGGCCAATAGAAGACTTTTATTTCGCCATAATGACGCAATTTCTCCAATCTAACAGCATCTGAATCAGGTGTGTACAGAGCAACACCACATGTTGTTCAATGCAATAAAACATGTCTGCACGTTTGAAGCAGTAGAGACTTAATGTATGTGAATTGGAATTGCAATGTGAGGCTGTATGACAGATGCAAACAATGTCAGCTTTTGTTGTGAATGTCTCATCAAATGTGAGTGGACGTGCTGCAGGGTGCGCTCTGACTCACAGCAACAGAGAAGGACTTCTGGAATGAATGACAGCATCTCAAAGTCTCTGGGTCTGTGAAGAACGGGCCTCAATTGTTGATTTGAAGTGCCTTTCAACGTTGGGCTGCACAGTCTGTTCAGATATCCATCAAAATGCCCGTCTGACGCCTAAAGTTGTATTTGCTTTAAAAAAGCATGAAATGTTTAAGAAAAACGTTGGATTTGTTTAAATGAAGGGACTTTTACTTTCTCTTGGATGTGTTTTGTTCAGAACAACCAGCTCCTTTCCCCCGGAGCCTTCGGTCTCTTTAGATTCGTTTTTAGTTTGGAGTGAACACACGGTAAGAGCCGCTGTAGAAGTGTGACCTTGAACATGTTGAAGTGTCCTTTGTGAGAAACTGAACCCCAAATGGCTCCGTGTGGTGAGTGAGCTCTCGAACAGTGTTAGTAACTCATTGTAATCTTAACTAGTCCCTCACCCTGTTCCAGTCCTGCCTCAAAACCCACCTCTTCAACTCTGTATCCATAAGCCCCCCCCCCCCCCCCCCCCCTCAACCAACTTCCTCCTGACTGCTTTTCTGTTTTGTTTTGTTTCTTTGTTTCTTTTTGGCTTTGTTTTGTTTGTCTTTGTTCAAGAAAAGCGCTATAGAAATAAAATGTATTATTATAACTAATAATACGCACCGAATCGTTCAGCTACAGGTTGCTATGAGGAATGATTTATTAATAATACAAGGTGTTGACCTGCCTGTTCGCTCTAAAGGCCCGGACACACCGGACGATTTCGGCCGTCGATAGATGTCTGGCCGTCGATGAGCGTCGTGTCGCCCTGCTCAGATTGGTGTGTCCCGCCCCGTCGGGTCTTTTCGGCCGTGCCGACACCTTTTTGACCGAAAACCAAAATCGGCCAAAGGCTGTCGGTCAAATAAATCACTCTGATTGGCTGTTCAGCTAGCGAATCAGTGCACGAGAAGCGAAACGGAAGTGAGGGACCCTAACGATTAAGAAGGCACACTATTGTTTTTGATTCTCACCTCAGCTGGACTCAAGAGTTTATTTTTCATCATGGAATGAAGAAACCGAAGACCAACGCACACGCTATTTGTTGTTTGTTTACATCACGCAGTCTGTTCTTCTTCTCTCGGTTATCACGCAGTCTGTCTTCCGGTTGTTGCCTCTTTTGAATGACGAATACACACTACCGCCGCCTGCTGGTAAAAGAGAGTTATTGCATGTGCAGTGCGTACGTGCTTCTTGGCCGTCGGCTGAAGTCTTCGCGGTGTGTTCCAGTGCGACTGTTGGCCAAGACGCAGAGACGCGATGCGACACAACAGTCGGTCCGTCGGGACGTGTTCTTTGGTGTCAGCTTGGTGTGTCCGGGCCTTTAAAGCTTTAACATAATGCATTCAAATCAAACTCATTTGATTACATCTTTTAACACCAGGGAAAACACAAGCTCTGATTGTTGAGCATGTGTCCTTTTATTAAGCAATGTTGTTCTACTTTAAATACTTTCAAAACAGCGCTTGTTTATGATGAAAACAAAAGCCAACAGAGGGTAAGTCTTGTCCTTTTGATTTATGTACAAACTGATGGACAGAAGTCAAATGTTTATATATGTAGGAATGAAAGATGCAACAGGACATTAAGGATGTAAGACTTCTACAGCGGCTTCTTCTGCGTTCAAGTACCTTCTCAATATTTGCTCTCAGTCTAATCCTGTGTTATAGACTCATGAAGAGGAACAGTTGTATAACGAGTAATAACTCAGAAATCTGTATGCACTTTAAAGACACCCTGAGGTACAAGGAAACAAATTATTATTTTTAATTCCTCCATAAAATCAAGTGTAGATGTTAAACTTTTATTAACAAATACATTGTCCAGCCTTTGTTACTTGATGAATTCTACAGAAGAGACGCAAAAATATACGTTTTCTATTTGAAAGTATATTTTTTCAGAGCTGTACAAATGCAAGCATTTAGCAATTATATGTTTTTCCTAAGTTTGATCTAACCTTCCCTCGGAAACTGGAATCTTTTTCTAACATCACTTTTCTGTGGTTGAGGGAAGCGTGTGTTTCATACTGTATGATAGTTTTTGTAAAATGAAGGTACGGTGGAGAGACGCCTTGATATGTGAACTGTGAGCATTTTTTTTAAAAAAGTAAATGAAGAACAAAACTGTTTCTTACTCATAGGAAAAAAGGGACACTGATGTCCAACAAAATGTATAAATGTATTTGTTCAATCAACTATATTTCCAGTAAAACTAAAGATTTTAAGAACGTCTCTGTTTGTCATTCTTGTTTACATCAGTCATGTTTTGAGTGTTTTTCCTTTCCTGTAGTTTGTTATATTGTTTGTGTGCATGTCAATGGTCTGCAAGGGCTAGAACATCAGCAGGAGAGGACTCTTTAAAGTAGAGACACTACAGACAGATATACACCTGAACATCAGCAGGAGAGGACTCTTTAAAGTAGAGACACTACATACTGATATACACCTGAACATCAGCAGGAGAGGACTCTTTAAAGTAGAGACACTACATATTGATATACACCTGAACATCAGCAGGAGAGGACTCTTTAAAGTAGAGACACTACATACTGATATACACCTGAACATCAGCAGGAGAGGACTCTTTAAAGTAGAGACACTACACACACTGATATGAACCTGAACATCAGCAGGAGAGGACTCTTTAAAGTAGAGACACTACATACTGATATACACCTGAACATCAGCAGGAGAGGACTCTTTAAAGTAGAGACACTACATACTGATATACACCTGAACATCAGGAGGTGAGGACTCTTTAAAGTAGAGACACTACATACTGATATACACCTGAACATCAGCAGGAGAGGACTCTTTAAAGTAGAGACACTACATACTGATATACACCTGAACATCAGCAGGAGAGGACTCTTTAAAGTAGAGACACTACATACTGATATACACCTGACCATCAGCAGAATAGGACTCTTTAAAGTAGAGACACTACATACTGATATACACCTGAACATCAGCAGGAGAGGACTCTTTAAAGTAGAGACACTACATACTGATATACACCTGAACATCAGCAGGAGAGGACTCTTTAAAGTAGAGACACTACATACTGATATACACCTGAACATCAGCAGGAGAGGACTCTTTAAAGTAGAGACACTACATACTGATATACACCTGAACATCAGCAGGAGAGCACTCTTTAAAGTAGAGACACTACATACTGATATACACCTGAACATCAGCAGGAGAGGACTCTTTAAAGTAGAGACACTACATACTGATATACACCTGAACATCAGCAGGAGAGGACTCTTTAAAGTAGAGACACTACATACTGATATACACCTGAACATCAGCAGGAGAGGACTCTTTAAAGTAGACACTACATACTGATATACACCTGAACATCAGCAGGAGAGGACTCTTTAAAGTAGAGACACTACATACTGATATACACCTGAACATCAGCAGGAGAGGACTCTTTAAAGTAGAGACACTACATACTGATATACACCTGAACATCAGCAGGAGAGCACTCTTTAAAGTAGAGACACTATATACTGATATACACCTGAACATCAGCAGGAGAGGACTCTTTAAAGTAGAGCCACTACATACTGATATACACCTGAACATCAGCAGGAGAGGACTCTTTAAAGTAGAGACACTACACACTGATATGAACCTGAACATCAGCAGGAGAGGACTCTTTAAAGTAGAGACACTACATACTGATATACACCTGAACATCAGCAGGAGAGGACTCTTTAAAGTAGAGACACTACATTCTGATATACACCTGAACATCAGCAGGAGAGGACTCTTTAAAGTAGAGACACTACATACTGATATACACCTAGAAATTAGCATACGATGTCAACTTTAATAAATATTTGGGTTTTAAATCTTTTGGGTCTTGTTAAGGACATCTTATTAGACCCTGACTGATTTCCTCATTACCTTCCTACTATAAATATTGTTCAATCAGGAGAGACGGTTTTTATGTAAGAATACATATTTATTGCCAGGAAAATGAATGTAATGGAGTTTTGGCGAGTAGGCCCCGTGGTGCAGGAGTATCATTCGGGAGGGGAGAAGCGATCCGATGAAACCCCCCGGGGTCTAGACACTGGTGGTGGTGAATGGATGGTTGGGGTCGGTCTGAAGGGGAGGGGCTTAGCTTGATCCTGGATTCAGAGGGACAGGAGGTGAAAAGGGGGGGAGGAGGGTTGCGTAGAGTCACCTGAAATGACAGCTGTCAGAGGGGAGAGCAGACTGAAAAGGTTTGGCAGAGCGCTATGATAGGCTTGTGAGAATAGAGCGAAGTGATTGGTTAAGCTGAGGAGTGACATGGAAATAGTAAATTAATGAGTGGGGACGATCTTCCTGGTTGAACTTGCGCTGAGCTTCATTTGTTGTGTCTTCTGTAAAGAATGTGTTTTAACCAAAATCGAAAAACATATATTAATATATAATAAAAAGGAACAGAAAAAGTCCGATGTGGATTTTTAACAGTGCCATTTTAATGTGTGTGCTTGAAAGACAATTGTCTAAACTCCAAACAGCTACAGACTAAAACCTCTCCTGTACATATGTATATTTATATATAAACAATGTCCTGTAAAAAGTAAAAACATACGGAGAAAACACATTTGAAACCAGTAAAATAAATGATGACTTAAACATGACTCGGGGAAATGACGGGCATTTAAAATATTTATTATGGCTTACAGTTGAAAGGACATCCTGTGTTTTTTACAGATCTATTACTTATTGCCACGGCCGCTCCACTCTGAAACAAGTGAAGGGTTCAGAAACTGGTTTTACAAACACTATGTACAACTTCTCACTTTTTTTCAGCTTTAAGGTTTTTAATCGTCACTGTACAAGCGTCATACCACGTACACCAATCTATAGAGCATTTACTAATTCTTATGTACAAATATATTTGGTAAAACCCTGATTAATCTCAACAGTATTTAAACCAACCTATTTAAAGATAAAACACTTCTCAAAATACTTAATAGCCATAAAAAGAAACGTAAAACCTGCTTTCTTTGATCCAAAAACATGTTCAGTTACTCCTCGATGCAGTATTTCTCTTTTAAGTACACAGAAATACTGCAGTTTCCACCAGTTAAATACTTTACAACTTATTCTACTGTCCCATCATTAGCAGGTTGTTTAGACACTGGAATGAGGTAACAGTAAAAGTAACCTTTATTTTTTTATTCCTTTACCAGACCAAAACAAATACTTCAAATACTGTGATAGAATAAAACTGTGGTCCCCAAGTACACAACTGCAGTACAGTGTAACAAGTACGGATAACAAGTACAAATACTAAGAGTCGTCGTAGTCTTACATCATCGAGGGAGGGGTTTCACAGCTGGGGGGTTAGAGGATGGGAGCTGTTCACTTGTTGTTGTTGTTTTCATGCAGGATCCAAATGTCCTCTTGTGATTGGCTGTTTTCGTTCATGTTGTTGTTGCGGTAGTAGTTGTTGTTGCTGCTGCTGCTGTTTGGGGTGGGGGGCGCCTGTTTTGTCCTGCTGCGGATCGGGGGGGTTCGGATCTGAAGCCCCGCCCCCCCCCTGCTGCTGCTGGGGACCGGGAGCTGGGATTTGGAGCGGGGGGCGGGGCCTGATCGTCGCTCGCTGCTCTGCACGGCAACCGGGCTGCAGGGGGACGGGGCGGTCTGAAGAGAGGAGGAGATATCAGGTGAGTTTGAGGCATTTTTAATCGCCTAAAACTACAACTCCCAGAGTGCACCTGTGACATTTTAACTGACTCGTACACTCTCTGTCTGAAACCAGAGCCCAGTCTGCTCTGATTGGTTAGCTGGCCGGCTCTGTTGTCGCATCTCTAAGCAATTGGTCAACCGCTTAGAGATGTCCCGCCCCTTAGCCTATCACGTACAATGTCTTGGAGCGCTAGCCAATAGAAGCGCAAGTTACATTCATTCAGGTAATTCTGGACCTTTTTTAAAGTAAGTAAAATATTTAGAAATCTAGGAAGTTAAAAGGTTAAAGCTGTAGTGGAGTGCCGGCTTCAAATAAATATAACGATAGAATTGTCTCTCTATTGTTATTGAAATACATATTTGTATTAAATATGATGTTTTTCCCCCTTCAGGTTCAGGGTCTTAAAGTCCTGAAAAAGTTATCTTCCGGGCCTATTCTTAGTTGAATTCATAAAATACATAACTAAACAACTGAATCTAATAAAAACGCACAACACAGCTGTTACTAACCCTGCAGTAATGATATATCACAGTACTGCTCATACGGGACAGGCCCATTATGTGTGAGGTAACGCTGAAAACACACACATGATGACGACAAAACAATCACACGCTCATTTCAATGAGTCAGCAGCTTGTGGAGCGATAATGATGAGAGAGGAGTTAGTTGACGGGACAGTACTCCTTTGATGTGTCCACGCATGCAGACAATGTTAATAAGACTTAAAGATGTTCCCTTACTTCTAAAATGTACTTACTTTTTTTAACCTGACCGGTCTACTCATTTTATTTTGCCTTTTTATCTACACTGCCCCTTTTTTGTAACGACAAATAAAGGTTTTCCGATTCTGATATCAATATTGTGATAATAGATAATGCATTTAAGAAGTGTCGTCTTTTCGTAGTGTCATTACTGTCAAGTCAACTTATTGTACCCCCATTACTGATGTGAATTTATCAACATTTTCATGTGTAAATCGATCCAATATTCAACCTTACAATATCGTCGATTTAGAGTCATTTGGTAAAAAATGTATTGATATTTGATACAACCCATTTCACTAAACCCTTGTTTAAGATTAATGTCTTATTAGCTGAGATTGATCAACACAGGTTAACTACAGTAACATATATTAATTTCCTTGATGTCAGTGATTGATGTATATGTTCCCCCCCCCCCTCACCGTCTGGACGGGCGTTTCCCGCTCGGCCTTCTGGGAGGAGCTGGAGAACAGGATCAGGTCGTCTTTGGTCTCAGAGATCTGTGGGAGGAGAACGAGATCACAGGTTAAAGGTCACCTATTACGCAAAATCCTCTTCTTCATGTCTCCTCTACATCAACATGTGTCCCCTCTTCTTCATGTCTCTTCTACATCAACATGTGTCCCCTCTTCTTCATGTCTCTTCTACATCAACATGTGTCCCCTCTTCTTCATGTCTCTTCTACATCAACATGTGTCCCCTCTTCTTCATGTCTCCTCTACATCAACATGTGTCCCCTCTTCTTCATGTCTCTTCTACATCAACATGTGTCCCCTCTTCTCCATGTCTCTTCTACATCAACATGTGTCCCCTCTTCTTCATGTCTCTTCTACATCAACATGTGTCTCCTCTTCTTCATGTCTCTTCTACATCAACATGTGTCCCCTCTTCTTCATGTCTCTTCTACATCAACATGTGTCCCCTCTTCTTCATGTCTCTTCTACATCAACATGTGTCCCCTCTTCTTCATGTCTCTTCTACATCAACATGTGTCCCCTCTTCTTCATGTCTCTTCTACATCAACATGTGTCCCCTCTTCTTCATGTCTCTTCTACATCAACATGTGTCTCCTCTTCTTCATGTCTCTTCTACATCAACATGTGTCCCCTCTTCTTCATGTCTCTTCTACATCAACATGTGTCCCCTCTTCTTCATGTCTCTTCTACATCAACATGTGTCATCTCTTCTTCATGTCTCTTCTACATCAACATGTGTCCCCTCTTCTTCATGTCTCTTCTACATCAACATGTGTCCCCTCTTCTTCATGTCTCTTCTACATCAACATGTGTCCCCTCTTCTTCATGTCTCTTCTTCATCAACATGTGTCCCCTCTTCTTCATGTCTCTCCTACATCAACATGTGTCCCCTCTTCTTCATCAACATGTGTCCCCTCTTCTTCATGTCTCTCCTACATCAACATGTGTCCCCTCTTCTTCATGTCTCTCCTACATCAACATGTGTCCCCTCTTCTTCATGTCTCTCCTACATCAACATGTGTCCCCTCTTCTTCATGTCTCTCCTACATCAACATGTGTCCCCTCTTCTTCATGTCTCTCCTACATCAACATGTGTCCCCTCTTCTTCATCATAAAATATCTCAAAAACAGCATTTATTGGATTCTAAACTCTGTAAATATATAATTTCTCAGATGTTACTTCAGGTTTTAAAGACTCACACCTCTGAAGCCGCTAGCTCCACTGAACAAGTTCATTTTTTATAATTTTGTAATATTTTAAATCAGTGAGAGCCTGCATTTCAAACAGCACAGGAGCTAGTATGTGAATGTCATCACGGTGGTGCAGTCACTCTATCTTTAGGAGGATGACAGCGGTGAATTAAAGAAGCCAAAACATGTGACCTCAAGTGTTTGGAAACGTCCTTAAAGCTGAGAGGTTCTGAAGATGTTTGTTTGTATTGTGCTGGATGACAGAGACACACAGTGGTAGTGCATTGTAGGGCTGCTCAATTAATCGCGATAACGATTATGGCTTGCAACGATTACGAAAACAACGTAATCGAACTAAAATGATTATTTTTTTATTATTATTATTTAATAATATTTTTTTTTTCTTTTTTTTTTCAGTTGAATTATTCTTAAAGTTCAGGGTTCAACTGTTAAAAACATACTGTTCAAAAACATTTTCTCCAATAAATTGATGTTTTCAAAGTGAATGAATAATCGTGATATCAATTATTGACCCAAATAATCGAGATTATGATTTTTGCCACAATCGAGCAGCCCTAGTCTTCAGTACAGGTGGCAATATCATCACCTGCCTGCGCTCATCTCTGAAACCAGACCATGTCAACAGGCTGGTGTTTCTAGCAAAACAATTTAAGAGATGACACGAGCAGCCCTACCAGCATTTGCCATGGTGGCCTAAACATTTTTATTTGTTCTTAAATTGTAGTTCAACATTTATTTCCTGTTACTTCTGGACCATGACGGTGGGCCAGCCTTTAATGTTTAACTGAGTGGAATATGTTTTACCAAAATGTTGGCTATATGTTAAGGAGTTTTCAGGTTGCACTGCAACATATTTGTTGATCTTGTTTATTGGTATTTATTATTTTGATATTATTTATTTAAATGTAGACATGAATGTATAATTTATTTTATTTTGTATTGGTTTTTCAGTTGATTACCCTGAACGTATAATTCAACAGTTAAAACGTACAAATTATTATTTGTATTTGTTTTAAAGTACAATAAATGGATGTTTTCAAAGTCAATGAATAATCGCATTTACAATTATTGACCCAAATAATCGAGATTAGGTTTTTTGCCATAATCGAGCAGCCCTAGCCCTATCTAAACTGCTTTAATACGCTGTTTTACTTCTGTTCATCTGCCACTAGGGGGCAGCAGAAACAAGTCATAAACACAACACCGTTTCTGCCATGTTATCAAGCAGTTTCTTATGTACACATCAATACTATCATTGATTTGATTATTAATAACCCTCCTTTAGTTCTCTAACTCCTCAAAGAAACATGTGGGTCTTCAGCAGCTTAATGTTGTTTACAACCATGTTTAACTAAGCTTAACCTAACCTGGTTATACTACTGTTCATGTCAAATGATCACTATCTTAAAACAGTTGCATGGGATTCAAACTATTATCTTGTGGTATGAGAGTACTTTAAGTCTCATTGCACTTTTATCATAATATGTATGTACCTTTATTATGTTTATTGCTATTTGCTACTGTAAAATAATGACACAAGATGGCTACGTCAATTTGAACAGTATGCACATGGATATATATATGTGTGTGTGTGTGTGTGTGTGTGTGTGTGTGTGCATGTGTGTGGCTGTGTGTGTGGCCTAGCATTACTATACTTGTGGGGACCTAAATCTGTTTACATAGTCACGTGTGGGGACTCGCCTCCCTTATGGGGACAAATTGGAGGTCCCCATGAGGGGAATCATTAATTTTAGGGTGAAGACTTGGTTAGGGTTAGGGTTAGGTTAAGGATTAGGTTTAGGGTTAGGGTTAGGCATGTGTTGGTTATGGTTAAGGTTAGGATAAGTCTCCAGGAAATGCATGTAAGTCAATGTAATGTCCCCTGAAGTGATGTATACATGGTATGTGTGTGTGTGGCTGTGTGTGTGTGTGTGTGTGTGTGTGTGTGTGTGTGTGTGTGAGTCTGCGTGTGTGAGTCTGTGTGTGTGAGTCTGCGTGTGTGTGTGTGTGTGTGTGTGTGTGTGTGGTGTGTGTGTGGTGTGTGTGTGTGTGTGTGTGCGCATGCGTGAGTGTGTGTGTGTGTGTGTGTGTGTGCGCGTGCGTGAGTCTGCGTGTGTGTGTGTGTACCTTGCTGATGTCTGGCTCTGACTTGCTGGAGCACATGGTCTGCAGCTCTCGGATTAAATCTGTCTCGTCGTCAGAGAACACAGACAGACCTGTGGGCTCCCTGCAAACACCAGGAAACATTCATTTAGTGTCAGGTTTAAGGTTCTTAAACACTCACATGTCATATTGAACATGATAAGGATCATCAGCGGAGAGCAGACGGACCTCTGGACTTTGCCGTTGGGGATGAAGCTGACATCAGTGCTGGAGAGCGAACCTGCAACACAAACACAAACAAACAAACGATTTATTGATGTTTATTTGCATGTATTCATAAAGAAAGACAGTCTATTGAAAGATGTTGTTAATAAGAAAACATTTCCATTGTGAAGTGCTCGACATATGACTCGTCTTATTTTCGGATGTACTATAGTATAACCTTTTCATATTTTTGACAAATATACAATTTCCTTTTCAAGATATTTTCAACATAGTTCACAACATTTCTCAAAGTTATTGAAGTGACTGTTATTTTTTTATATATTGATTGTAGTGCTTTTATTTATGTCTTAAATGTGTGAACAAATGTGTCTGTTGATTGTGTGTATATATATATATATATATATATATATATATATATATATAGGTATATACATATCTTTATATATCTTTGTTAGTGTATTCTGGATTGTGGGAAACGGTATTTGGATCTCTCTGTCTGTACACACAAACTGAAAGACAATAAAGTTGACTTTGACTTTGATACCTGACGTGTAATTCAGCACCATTAAGTCAAACGTTACATATTGTGCTGTTGACATTAAGCCAGTCCATGTTTCCAGCTTTAAACATGTGAGAAATCTCTCTGGTAAAACAACAAATCATCTTCAGGAGTGTCTGAGCCTCACCCTCTCTGAAGGAGCCTCCGGAGCTCCAGTTTGGGGTCCCTCCCTTCTTCCGGGGGCTGGTGTTGGAGCGCCTCAGCTTCCCACTGTCCCGCCCCTTCCTCCCTCCTCCACCTCCTCCTCCTCTTCCTTCTCCTTCTCCTTTATAGGAGCTGATGGCCGACAGAGGGAAGGTCCCGCCCCTAAACTCCAGCAGGTACCTGTCAATCTCTGCAGCAGATTTAGGGGATACACAATATAGAGATGTATGTTTTTATTTCATTCTTTCTTTGTATTTTTCATTAGGTGCTTCCCAGCAGCCGGCATAAGGAGTGTCCAGGGTGTATGCAGGAATCCTGAAGTCAGATGTAAAACCTTTAAAGACCTTTTTTAAGACCCTCTCCATACATTTTAAGACCTCATCGCCACTTGGAGTTTTAACCGGTTACCTTGGTAACTGACTATATACAGTATTGATTGTCCTTCCTCCTTATCTTCCAACCATTTGGACGCAAACTTGCATTTCCCCATAACGATGTTGTTTAACAACCGGCGTAAACGGACCTTCGTGCTATCAAGCAGTGAGCGTGCGATGTCCTGTTCAGATGACGTCAAACCCAACGGGATGCCATCAATAAACTACACAGAATCACACTACACACCTACGCAATGATTACATTCAGGCAGACTGTAGAATACAACCTCTTTGGACCATTTATATACTTATTGAAACAAGCTACAAAATGTAATATCTTGGAAAAAGCCGTTTCATACTTTTTAATAGCTTTCATTTTCGCTAAATTGATTTATCAACTTTGAACCCTTTTTAAGACCCCGCGGCATACTTGCCAACCCTCCCGATTTTCGCGGGAGACTCCCGATTTCATTGCCCTCTCCCGGTTTCCTCCCGGGGTCATATTTCTCCCGATTTCTGACAAAATCAGATTTACACACAACTGTTTCCACTCAGACTTTATTACAGCTACACCATTGTTTGGTTTCCATGGTAGCGCGTCTCTTTAGTAGCGCGCAACTGAAAGTCAGAGGGTGAGGAAGATAGTCACAGAAAACAGAACAAGAATCGACAACTCGACCCTCTGCCCACTCCTTTCCTGGTCCCCCGCGGTGGTTTTGAAATGCTCCCGATTTCTGAGGCCTCAAGTGGCAGGTATGCCCCGCGGAGTGTCCTTTGCTTTCGGTACTTAAAGCACACTTTGACGCTATTACTTTTGGATTTTTACTGAAGTTAGATGTGGAATAGGGACATTTACAAGTAAAAAAGTACAAGTACTGTAGTAAGTAGTGGTTTTAATACTCTGTCGGCAGCTAAATTACTTGCATTTTGAAGTTGGGACTTTAAAAGACTAAAAAAGGAATGTCATAGTAAGTAACTATACAAGACTCATAAGAGTCAGAAAGAAAATCATAAAATATGTACAGCCTGCTATAGATGAGAGTAACACATGCGTCACTTCCGGGCAAAAATAACGGCTCCGCCCACTTTTGGGGGAAAACAACGCTGTCATTTGAACGGCGGTCAATACAAATTCTGAAGTTTTTGCCAATACGGTTAGAAATGTAAGAAAACCGTGGATTTTCTGATCTTCAAAGAGCCCGATCACGATGGCCAGACAGGCAAACAATTACATTAAATCATTGGAAATGGACGATCGGGCTCGATATATGGTTACATTAAAATCAGTAGGCGATCCATCTCCATAGATGAGTAAAATCTACGTCACTTTACGGCCCCGCCCACTTTTGGGCGAAACTAACGCTGTCATTTGAACGGCGATCGAGCCTGAAGCCACAGAGCTCTTCTTTTACTGTCCTTTCTTCTTAGAGGAAGTACAGAAACACTGAACTCTGGATCTGTTTTAATGGTGCAATAAACGACACAGCAGCTTGTTGGCATGATAAAACTATTAAGTTCCGCCTCGCTCATGAGAGTAACAGCTGGAGAAATTACAGCCTCCCCTACTGATTTTAATTCAACCATATATCGAGCCCGATCGTTGATTTCAAATGATTTCATGTAATTGTTTGCCTGTCTGGCCATCGTGATCGGGCTCTTTGAAGATCAGACAATCCACGGTAACTTCAGAATTTGTATTGACCGCCATTCAAATGACAGCGTTGTTTTCCCCCAAAAGTGGGCGGAGCCGTACTTTTTGCCAGGAAGTGACGTATGTGTTACTCTGATCTATAAAAAAATCTAAAAACCTGTATGTCAAAAGTAAAAAAAATTAAAGTTTGTACGGAAATATATAAAAAAAAAGCACTGAATGCCCGAAAAAATGTAGTCTCTCATCAATTATTATTATCATTATGTGCACTAAAAAAGCTCAGTTTGTACCAGAGTATTTGTACACAGTAGTATACATACTTTTCTCC